GGGAGTCTAAGGGAGGATGAAAAGGGAGAAAAGTTTTAGTAAAAAGCAAAGTTTTTTAGAGGAGGAGGAAGACAAACTTCTTGGGCAGGCCTGGATCAACAGCCAAAAAGTACTGCTAAAGCTAAAAGGATCTAGACCATATACCTTTAAAAGAATTGCTATAGACATGGAAAGGTACAGCAGGCCTGTATCTATTCTGTGCACATGTAAGCTCAGCTTACAAACTGTCTGTACTTATCAAGTTGTACCCACATTTGTATGGTATTTTTCAATACTACCAGTGCTTTTCTCAATTAATATATATACTTCAGTGATGAAAAGACCAGCAGGGTGGGCTGTCACCAAGACAACTTATTATGTAGAATAGAGCCGGCGATGAGAGAGCAAGCCCTTCCTAAGAGCCCCTCAGGTACTGGTAATAAAAGCACATAAATAGCAACCAGCCAGCCCAAACCGGTTTGGCTCAGTGGTAGAGCATTGGCCTGCGGACTGAGGGGTCCCGGGTTCAATTCCAGTCAAGGGCATGTACCATTGGTTGCGGGCACATCCCCGGTAGGGGGTGTGCAGGAGGCAGCTGGTCGATGTTTCTCTCTCATCGACGTTTCTAGCTCTCTATCCCTCTCCCTTCCTCTCTGTAAAAAATCAATAAAAATATTTAAAAAAAAAAAAAAAATAGCAACCAGCCAATAAAAAAGACAAATGCCACCCAGCTGGCGTGGCTCAGGGGTTGAGCATCAACCTATGAACCAGGAGGTTATGGTTTGATTCCTAGTCAGGGCACATGCCCAGGTTGCGGGTTCAAACCCCAGCCAATCAATGATTCTCTGTCATCATTGATTTTTCTCTCTCTCTCTCTCCCTTCCACTCTGAAGTCAATTAGAATACATTTTTAAAAAGACAAGTGTCATAAAGTAGAATAAAAAAGACAAGAGGCAAGAGATGGTAAGCCCCGTGAAATAGGAAGCAGTACTGACAGACTAACAGAGGAAGAAGCATTCAGTAGAACTAGGAGAGAAGTAGGAAAGAGTGTAGCAAAAAAGCAAGTAGACATATATATGTAGACTCTTCTGAAACAATATCCAAGAAATGCGAAGTAGTGAGCAACTCTGAGGGAAGAACTAAAGGCAGGGGGAATAGCAAGAGAGGCTTACTCTTCACAGGACATTTTTAGTGCTTAAAACATTTTATACCATGTGTATGTACTGTCTATTTAAAAGTTGATTAAAAAAATAAGAAGAAAAAGGAAAGCAAGCAGAGATGTGGACAACAGAGCCAGCAAGGCAGAGAGACAGCAAAACGGCAGGAAGACAAGGAAAGGCTGGGAAAATGGCAAAAAGACTGAGGCAGGCTGACTGAGGAACCAGAAAGACAAAAAGAAAAAGAGACAAATGAAATGGAAGTAATCAATGAGAAAAGGCAAGGGATATGGCAAGAAGGACGATAAGACTTTGGAGTAATGGGTTCACTGAGAGGTTTGGGGTAGAAAGCCCATCATCACTGATGGGATGCTGAGATAGAGGAAGCCAAGGAAAAAAAAGCTGATAAGCAGGTAGACGGAAAAGATACAAGCATTGCCCTAGCCAGTTGGGCTCAGTGGATAGAATGTTGGCCTGTGGACTGAAGGGTCCCAGGTTTGATTCCGGGCATATGCCCAGGTTACAGGCCTGATTCCCAGTAGGAGGCAAGCAAGAGGTAGCCTATCAATGAATCTCTCTCTTCATTGATGTTTCTCTCTCTCTCTCTCTCTCTCTCTCTCTCTCTCTCTCTCTCTCTCTCTCTCTCCTTTTCCGTTCCTCTCTGAAATCAATTAAAATATATTAACAACAACAAAAAAAGAGATACAAACATTAAACAGTGGGACAGCAGCAAGCAAATAGGCAAGAAGTCAGACATAAAGGGAGGCAAAAAAAAAAAAAATTGTGAACTTAACAGGCATAAATAAAAGGAGGAACAAGTAGAAGGGTAAGATTGAGACAAACCAATACAGGGAACCATGGCAAGGCCTGGAAGGTAGACAAACCAAGACTAAAAAAGTGATAGAGACAGGCAGGCGGGGAGACAGATGGCTAAAGAGAAAGTGGTGGGCAAACAGCCAGAGAAGCAGACAGACAACCAGGGAGAAATAGGCTGGCAGCCAGTCAGGGAGGAGCAGATCGGCAGGCAGGCAGACAGACACCATAATAGGAGTAAGCAGGTAGAGAAACAGGCAGAAACAAGGACAGAAGAAGAAAAATCAAGAGAGTCAGTAGGGAGAGAAGAGAGCAGGAGAAGCAGGCAGGAAGAGGGGGAGATGGAGAAGAGGAAGAATCAGGCAAATTAACAGATCTATATGCAAAGCACACTCGTGAGAATGATGAATGTTTGTACAGGGATGCACACAGCCACCTTTAGCCACCCACACCTGCAGCTCATGACACATGTGGCCTGATCCCCCGGCAGAAACAAGCGCTCAGCATGGAGGGAGAGGGCACAGAGGGAGAGACTGTGGTGCACATGATGTGTAGGGCTGTCAACAGACACATGAGGACACTCTTCCCAGACTCAGGCAGAGGGGCCAGAAAGAGGGGGGGAGTCAGGCAGACATAAGGAAGAGGCACATGCAGTCAGATCCTAGAAGACAGAAGTAAACAGAACTAAGACAGACATGGATAACTGTTCAGAGGTATAGAACCTGAGGGTCAAAGGGACGAGTGAAAAATAAAGACACATCCCGAGAAGCCCATATACAGAAAAAAGGGAATACTCAGACAGACTAGGAGGAAGAGAGACTAAGAGGACATAATACAATCGAATGAAAGAGGGATAAGAGTTAGACTCACAGGAATGATACGGGAGCAGAGGCAAGATAATCCCAAAGGCCAGCTTAAGAAAAGATGGAAATCAATGCTCAATAAAGTACATTAGTGTGTGTGTGTTTGGGGGGGGGGGAGCGTGATACATCAATAAAGAACATTTTAGCCTCTTAAGCAAAAATCTGCAGTGTTCCTTGTCACTAATACTTTGTGGTTGCTGCCTACTACCCCTCTCTCTAAAAGTGCTCCTGAATCCTGCAGAATTGCTGGGTCCCTGGCACCCATATTTAAGGTCCAGGGAAATAACCCAGAAGAAAAATGGTTCCACAGACATAGGATGGGAAGCAAAGGGCAAAATGAGATGAAAAGAATAGGAAGGAACTAGAGTAAGAAAAAGATGACAAGAACAAAAAAGCTAGAGCTGTTCGACCTTGCTTTGCTCAACTGGCAAATTTTATTTTACGACTTTTCCGATCAAGTCTCTGGATGAGAAAGCTACTTTTGACTCCTTTTCAATCTTCCATTTGATTCCTGGTGCCATTTTAAAGATAAACACTGGGTACAGTTAAAAATCAAGGGTCAGAATCAGATGAAAATGGGAGTATAAACCCCTACCTCTTTTTCTTCTCAGTTCCAGTTACTTTTCTCTGTCATGGTTACCTTAGTTTTCCTTCACTTTATCAGTGTTGAGATCATGGAAGAAAGGAAATATACTGAAATAGGAGAAAGAGAAAATCATTTTACAATCTTCAGACCTGATTATTTCCCCTTTATTCTAAAAAAAAAATCTATTCAATTTGCCCCTAAATTAATTTCCTAAGTCAGATGAATTTTATACTCAAGCAATCGGGGAAGGGAAGGGCAAGGTAACGGAGAAGAGTGAAGGTAAAATATACAACAATATTAATCATTGAAAAGGCTGGGCAAAGGGGAGAATCAAACATGGACTCCTTTAAAAAAAAAAAAAAAACAACACCTCAATCATTGTATCTATTCATATCTCTTCCCCCAAAAGTCACAAGGATTTCTACCACTTTTTAAAAGAAAAGAAAAATCCAGTATCCCTTCTCACTTAAAAGGTATGTGCACGATTAAACGCGTTTTGACTCCAATGAGGTATGTAGAAACAGTTATATATAAACATATATTTCATCTTTTTTCCTTTTCAATGCCTGAAGGGAAAAAAAAAAAAAAACCTTCACATCAAACCACTCCCTTCTGAAGTATTCAGGGAAGAAAAAAAAAAAGCGCTTTTCTTTAGAGAAGGGAGGTGGGGAGGAAGGGACTAGTAAAGAAAAGAAGAAAAAAAAATTTAAATGTAGTTGGACTAGTATCTAACTAGTTAACCTTTAACAATTTATGCTGATGTCAGACTGAGCATGAGTACTGATTAATGCCCCCCCTCGAATATTTTTATGAGGGGGAGTTAGTCACAGCAGCCATTTTTGTTTTATGCAGAAATCCTTCATGCCCCCCCCCCCTCCCTGCGCGCACACACTCCCTCACACACACACTCAGTACACAGGAAAATATCTCTATTAATCTGTGCCCTAATCAGTTATGAAAAAAGGGAGAAATCTGCGGGTTTCTGGGTAGAAGCTGGGAGATGGGGGTGTAGCAGGGAGGAGAAGGGGGCAGGGGTGAAAATGAAATATTAAGCCAGCCATCTTGTTTGAAAAGGGGATTTTCCCCCCTCTCCCTTTCTTCGTGGAGGGGGTGGCGGTGCTGCAGGGGGGGCTGTTTTAAAAATAATTTCAAGGCGGCCATCTTAGTGCCTCAGCTCTGAGAAATATTTCTGAGCGCCCCCCTCAGAATTTAAATATATTGAAAGTCACGGAGAGGGGGGCAGAGAGAAGTCGAAAACTTTTATATATATATATATATTTATATATTTTTAAAATCCTCCTTTCTTGTTCTCTTGGAAGGCGAGAAGAAAAAAGTCTCTCCTCAATTTTTTTTTTTCCAAGAGACAATTTCGGGGCGGCTTGGCCCCCCCTCCTCAGACGGCAGCCCCGAGGGTGGGGGTTTCGGCGGGGGGCGACCCGGGGGTTTGGGGGGCTGGGGGCGGCTGAGGAGGAGGAGGAGGAGGAGGCCGCCGCCGAGCAGGAGGAGGAGGAGGAGGAGGAGGAGGAGGAGGTGGTGGTGGTAGCGGTGGGGGAGGCGGGCGGGCGGTGGGTGGGGGGGTGGTGGGGGGGCCAGAGCCACAGGATGGCTTCCCCTCTGAGGGACGAGGAGGAGGAGGAGGAGGAGATGGTGGTGTCGGAGGAGGAAGAAGAGGAGGAAGATGAGGGTGACGAAGAGGAGGAGGAGGTGGAGGCGGCCGACGAAGACTACGAGGACGACGACGAGGGAATCCTCGGGCGCGGGCCGGGCCACGACCGGGGCCGCGACCGCGACCGCCACAGCCCCCCCGGCTGCCACCTCTTCCCGCCGCCGCCGCCGCCGCCCCCGCCGCCCCCGCCGCCAGGTAAGCGGCCGCCGACTCACCCCGCCCCGGCCCGAGGGAGCCGCCGCGCGGGGCCGGGCTGGGGCGACGCACCCGCCGCGCGGCCGACCCGAGGCGAATCCGGGGTGCGGGGCGGCGGTCCGGGCGGTCCGGGCGGCGGCGGCCGCGGGGCCAGGCCTCCTCCCTCCGCGCCCCCTCCCCCTCCCGCCGCCCGGGAGCGCTGGGCGCGAGCTGCGCGCGCGGCCCGGGCCGCTCGGTCGCGGCTTTCGGGGAGGAGGCGGAGGAGGTTTTTTTTCCCCTCGGCGGGGAGGGGGCAGGCAGGAAACGGCCGCGGCGAAGCCAGGGCCCCCTCCCTGGCCGCGCGCGGGGCCGCGGAGACCCCGGCGGCCGGGCGTGGGGGAGGGGCGGGGGGAGGGGCGGCCGCGCGGGCGCCCCGCGGGCTCCGGCCCGGGTGGGGTCGGGCTGAGGTGAAGTGGGGTTCCCGCGTGTGGGGCGGCCCGCGGCCCTCACCCTCTCCCCTCAGGAGCCGGGAAAGCGGCCGGGGGGGGGGCGGTGTCCGTCGGGACCTCGGGCTCCGCCACCTCAGGGCGGGCGGAGGGGGGGGCGGCGCGTGTCTGTGGGCCGCGGGGGACCGGGCAGGTGGCGGCCACACTCCCCGCAGCCACTTCCTGGAGCCGCAGCTCGTCCCGGGGAGACCAGGCACTCAGGATAGGGGCGGGGGGCCGGGGTCTGGGAGTGCAGATGCCCCGAATTCCATCCCCTCCGCTCAGGGCTCTTTTGTGTCAAGTGCGCAGCCCCCCGCCCCCCCCCCCGCCCCCCTGACCCTGTCAGTCTGCGGTGGCCGCGCTGCCCAGCCATGACTCTCACGTGGCTGCCACTCACTGTCACTCTCGCTGAAACCACCCACACCCTGACCGGGTTGGGGGTGTGACCTGCCCACCCCGCGGCTCGGCGGCCGGGCCGTCACTCAGCAAACCCACCCCCCCCCATGACAGGCCGCCGGCGCTCCGGGCAGCTCCTCCGGCTGCGGAGGGAGAGGCCGCCGCTCGCGCCGGGGCCCAGCAACCGCCCCCCCTCAGCCCGCTCCCCCGGGGGGTGACTTCTAGGCGAGCACCTTTAGGGGGTCCACACCCTCTGCTGGGGGAACGAAAGGGGATGTCCACACCCAGCACCAATGCACCAAACTTCAAAACACCCAACATCACGCTCTTTGTAAAACTGTCACATCGATCCGTGTGGCGCCTGTGGCGAAGGTTCCTGAGGGAGGGGAGGGGAGGGAAGGGGGCTTCTGTGCGGGCAGGAGGCTGCTTGTCCGGTGGGACAGGATAAAGCCCTTTCCTCCACCGCCAGGCTTCTCTGGAAAAGGAAAAAGTTTTTACAAAGTTACCCAGGGAGCCCCTTGGTTTGCTGGAGGGAAAGGGAATAAAGAACTCTGGGGAGGGAAGGGGCCCCGCAAGCAGCCCCAGGGGCTAAGAAAAGGGGGAAAGAAAAGATGTCAGGTTCCGATGGGGGATTGGCAGCTGTCACCTATTTGCATTTCGGACTTGGAATGTGGTGTTGGGGGGTTTTGACCCCGGGTTTAGGTGTGTGAGAGGAGCAGGAGAGAACCTGAGGTTGCGGTGGGTCTTTGTGTCAGCGCTCGCTCCCCTCCCTTCTCTGCTTTCTGAATAGAACAGAAGAGACGTCAGATGTTTTTTAAAATTCTTTATTTGAATTGAAAATCCACCTCCTCTTGTCTCCCAGGGCAATTTTATCTCCCTTTCAGCCCTCCTCGTCACATCGGTGACCTGAGATGACTTTCTGGGGTAAAACTTTGGGGAAATATTTTTAGTCTGCTCCTTCTTTTTGCCTTTCTGAGTGTGGGCACATCACCCTCCTCCGAGGAAGTGGGCTCGGGCCGCCCTCCCTCGTCCTTTTCTCTGCGCGTCTTAGAGGTTTCTATTGTTTTTCGTTCTGACTGCTTTGATTCTCACCATTTTGTCTTACATTTTTACCCAGGACCAATGTTATCCCTTCCCCCCTCTCCAGCCTCCTTACATTGTTAAGCGTTTAAAATAATAGCACTCGCATTGGTGGGGGAAGGGAGCAGGAAGCCCAAAACTCATTTCTTCTCTCCCTCCCCCTTCTGGCAAGTCTGGAGAAATAATATAACATAATATATAGATGCGATTCCTCGGGGTGGGGGTGGGGAAGGCTTGTGGGTGGTGCGGAAAATTCTGGTAGTTTCTTTGCAAAAGGTCTGAAGATACAAACCCACCCCCTGCGTGCAATACGCATGTGCAGCAGACCTATTATGGTGGTTCGTGGTGGGGGAGGGAAGGGAATTTGAGAAAAAAATAAATATATGTGTGAGAGATTGATGGTGAGATTAGGAGAGGGGCGGGCGGGAGGCGAGGCTTGCGGCGAGGCTCCTCCCGCTCCCTCCGCCGCCGCCGCCGGGCCCCGCCCGCCCTCCTCCCCGCCCTCCTCCCCTCCTCCCGCCGTCTTCCCGCGATCCGAGCCGGGGCCGTGGAGTGTCTGGGCTCCGGGCCAGCATTGAGTGGCTGGTGAGACAGAGGTTGGGATTTAGATCTGCCTTATTGCCCTCCCTTTCCTTTCCTAGCCATACCACCTAGCCTCTCCCCGCCGCCGCCTTCTTCCGAAGCCCGGAAGCCTGCTGGGCTGGGGATTGGCCGTGACTGGCGGCGAGGTCCCAGGGCGCGTGCCCCACCCCCCGCTGGTGGTGACCCGGGCGGCCTCCCTGAGCCTTAGCCAGTTGGCCTGCTCTTGCCACTCGCCCGGCAGCAGCCCCGTTTCCACGTTCATATTAATCTCAGTCCCTGGGGTTAGGGAGCGCTGACTGCTGAGGCATACATAGCGACTTACTGACTTCCTATTTCCTATTACAGTTTTCACTCTGCCCCCCCCCCCCCATCTCCCGGAGGGCGGGGAGCTTTCTGCAGGAACCCTCCCTCCCGTCCCCAGCCCCTCCAATTCCTAGAGTGTCTTCCTGCAGGAGAGGACACAGAATCCAGGAGTTAGGAAGATCAGCATTGAAGGGATTCTGAGGCAATGGAAACAGGCCTCCAGTGTTAATTGTGGCTAATTTTCCCTTGGCTGCTGTGGGAGGAAGGATTGTGTGTCCTGGAGCAAGGGGCTGGGCCAAGCGCTGCTTGTCTCCAGCACAGCCACCTCTGCCTGACAAGACAGGTCTGGCTGGTTAGTCTAATGCTTGCTGTGGGAGCGAAGCCAATCAGGGCTTCATGTCTGTGTGGCATCAGTGTCTTCCTCTGCACGGAGTAACTCTGTCTCCTAAGCCTCCACAGACTAGCAGGGGGGAAATCAGGGAAGAACCAGCCCCTGACTCTCTGACAGACATGTGGAAAGTTAGGGACCTAGTAGCCCCGCTGAAAGCAGGTACAGGCTATCCTCCATGTGTGCTTGTAAGTATGAGTGTATGCTTGTGCATGTGATAATATATTTGCAGGGTGTGTCTCTGTTATCTTTGTCTGGGTCTCCCATACTGTTTGTTTATGAATGGTCAGGATGTCTGGAACTAAATTTGGAAATGAAGGGTGAGACCAAGGGACAAAGAATAGGGCCCTAGAGTTCCCAAAGGGATCAGGGATATAGAAATAGATTTGAAGGCAGATTCCAGGCTGCTTAGGAGGAGGAGGAGGAGGAGGAGGAATTCTATATAATAAAAGCCTAATATGCTAAGAGTCCAGTTAGCCGTTCAACCAATCAGAGCATAATGTGCTAATGATATGCTAAGGACGCTCAACCTCTCACTATAATATGCACTGACCACCAGGGGATTAGCTTGCTGCTGCTGTCCCGCCAATCGGGACTGAGCAAGAGGGGCCGGACACACTCTGGAACCTACCACGGTCCCTCCCCGGCTGGCCAACTTCCTGTGTCCCTCCCTGACCCTGAGGCCTTGATCGTGCATGGTGGGGTCCCTGGGCCTGGCCTGTACCCTCCTGCAATCTGGGACCCCTCAGGGGATATTAGAGAGCCGGTTTTGGCCCCATCCCACAGGCCAGGCTGAGGGACCCCACTGGTGCACAAATTCATGCACCGGGCCTCTAGTCTATATGCATATAAAAGACTAATATGCAAAGTATTCCCTTAGGAGTTTGGTCAGGAGACTGGGAGTTTGATCACTATGATGTGCGCTGACCACCTGGGGGAGGTGCAGAACGAAGGAAGGTTCTGACTGGCAGCTAGGGAAGGGAGGCCCCAGCCAGCAGCCAGGAGGAAGGCCCTGGCCAGCAGCTGGAAGGCTCCAATCGGCTCTGATCGCTGGCCAGGCCTAGCGACTCTACCCATGCATAAATTTCGTGCACCGGGCCTCTAGTATTTAGATAATTATGGACACTTTCTGCTGTAGGGTTTGGGTGTGATGAGGAGCCAGAAACTGTGAACCTGTGAGCCAGAAGTGAAAGTGACCAGCTGATAATGTCTTTTCCTCCAGGCTGCGTTGGGGTGACGGGAGGCTGGGTGATCATCTGCAGGAATATAGAGGCCTCCCTCTTCACGAAAAGGATGTGAAGGGCCCCGGGGTGTTAGAGTGAGAACCCAGGTGTCCACCTTTGGCTCTCCCTTCTCAGCATCTGGCTTCGGGAGCTGCCAGCTTGTGTCTCCCCACTCCAAGTGCTGGGGTCGGGCCAGGCCAGCAGCTGGGCATGGCTTCCCCAGTTCCCGGGCAGGATGCCAGCTGGCGAAGTGAGGTTCTGGAAGGCAGGAGGAGCCCTGGCGGCGACTGAAAGGGCCTGCCACAGTCGGAGCCCATGACCTAGAGCCTGGTCCCTTGTTAGTAGGAGGGGAGAGAAGGGAGTAGTTTGGCTGCTCTTTTCTTCTGACCCTTGACTTCCCATTCAGAACCAAAGCATCCAGAGTACTCAAAAGACTGTTTGCATCCAGTGAAAACAGTCAAGGTTTGGAGGAGTTAGCGCTGGGGTTCCTAAAAAGTGAGAAGTAGGAACTAAGGAAGGAATGGTGAGGTCAAGGGGCTGTCTAGACTGGGAGCCTAGAAGCTTAGGTTTTCTGTTACTCTCTGCTCCAAAGGGAAGGATGACATTCGACTGCTGCCGTCGGCATTGGGTGTGAAGAAGAGAAAACGGGGGCCCAAGAAACAGAAGGAGAACAAGCCAGGAAAACCCCGAAAACGCAAGAAGCTTGTAAGTGTTAAAGACTTCTGTCTCTACAATAAGGTTCAGGAGACCCATTCCCAGAGACCTAAATTGTTTCTGGTCCTGCTTCCCCCCACACACACACACCACCAACCCCCGCATCTCTTGCTGGCCTGTATCTCGTGTATCTGGGACCCTAACTTCACTTACTACAACAGTGAAGAGCCTAGCTTTCTATGTAACTTGCCTTAGCAACAGAGAGCAGCAGTTGAAAGCATAGGCTCAGGATGTAGACTACATGAATTTGTCCTCTGGACAATTTATTCAGCGCTCTGTGCCTCAGTTTCCTCATCTGCAGAAACTCACAAACATAAACGTGGATAAAAATAGGTTAGTTACTATCTCAGGATTGTTGTGAAGATTCAAAGAGACAATATGTGTGATGGGCTAAGAACGGTTCCTAGCACATGGTAGGGCTGAAGAAATGTTATTTTTATTTCTCTCCCTTAGGACAGCGAAGAGGAATTTGGCTCTGAGCGAGATGAGTACCGGGAGAAGTCGGAGAGTGGAGGAAGCGAATATGGAACTGGACCCGGTCGGAAGCGGAGACGGAAGCACCGAGAAAAAAAGGAGAAGAAGACAAAGCGGCGGAAAAAAGGGGAGGGAGAGGGGGGGCCAAAGGTGAGTAGAATTAGGGAGTGGGGGGGGGGGATTAGTAAAGACAGATGTGAGGAGGGAGAACCCCAAAGGGGGCTTTTTGCTAAATGGAGAGGCGATAATGGGGGAGAAGAGGGGGCTGGGCTGGAGAATGGAACGTGAAGCAGATACCCAGGGAAGCTGGTGGGAGGGAGGGCCCACCAGCTTCCCTGGCCCAGGATGGGGCGTGGAGAAGCACCGCCCCCCTCACTGCAGCCCGGTCTCTCCCAGCAGGTGGAGCAGAAGTCATCAGCAACTCTGCTCCTCACCTGGGGCCTGGAGGACGTGGAGCACGTGTTCTCGGAGGAGGATTACCACACGCTGACCAACTACAAAGCCTTTAGCCAGTTCATGAGGTGCGCTGGGACTGGGGAGTCCTCGGGAACAGACCTTCTTATTTTGGGGAGTCCCTGGCCCCTCTGAAATCTGATAAAAGCTAAGAAACTGATCTCCAGAGAAATTCACAGCACGTACACAAAATTCCAATGTAATTTTAGGGAATCCCTAGACTTCTAAGGATCCAACGACCATAGTCAGGAACCCTTCACAGGTGGGGGAGGGTCCCAGTTCCAGCACCAGGTTAGAAAATGCTCTAGGGACAAAACGTAGAGAGGGGCTGGCACTCCTTCTTGCTCCAAGAGTTCCAGCTTCTCCTGTATGACTTCTCTCCAGGCGGCAGCTGAGAGATAGCAACTGCATGCCTCAATTTTCTTTTTCTTTTTTTTTGAAAATATATTTTATTGATTTTGTACAGAGAGGAAGGGAGAGAAATAGAGAGTTAGAAACATCGATGAGAGAGAGTCATCAATCAGCTGCCTCCTGCACATCCCCTACTGGGGATATGCCTGCAACCAAGGTACATGCCCTTGACCGGAATCGAACCCGGGACCCTCCAGTTCCCAAGCCGACGCTCTATCCACTGAGCCAAACCGTTCTTGGCTGCATGCCTCAATTTTCTTTGCTCAGTTATCCGGTCCTCTTCCCCTACCTTAGGCCCTGGTAATAATGAAGGGTGCATTGCAGGCAGCAGCACTTGAGCTTCTATAGCCCCCAAGTAGAGTATAGCAGAGATCCTTTTAGGGAGCAGGCACTGTGACATAGCAGGTCATTACTCTAGAGGCAGCCTACGGAGGTTCAGATCCTGGTGTCGTGGGCAAGTTACTTCACATCAGTAAAATAGGGATGTCATAGTATGTAACTCATAGGATTTGATGGGATAATGATTGGAGAGCTCAGTACAGTCGGTGCCTGGCTCCTAGGGAGCATTCAGTACCTGGTAGCCGTTATTAAGTACCATTGTCTCACTTACCTCACTGCTAAAGAATATTAAAGAATATTAAATAAATTGAAAGGATATTAAAGTCATCCAGATCCCCGCAAGAGCATGGCCCAGCAGACTCCACCTGATGACATCCTTCATCAGGGCCCTTGGAACTTGTTAGAACATTCAGAGAATCATGGCAACTCAGAGTATTATTGTGAGGAAAAAATAAGGTGTAATGGCCACAGCCGGTTTGGCTCAGTGGATAGAGTGTTGGCCTGCAGACTGAAGGTCCCAGGTTCGATACTGGTCAAGGGCACATGCCTCACTTCCAGGCTTGATCCCAGGCCCTGATTGGGGTGCATGCGGGAGGCAAATGGTCGGTGTGTGTCTCTCTCTCACATCAGTGTTTCTCTCTCTCTGACTCCTCCCTCCCTTTCACTCTTTAAAATAATCAATGGAAAAATGTCCTCAGTGAGGATTAACAACAACAACAACAAAGGTGTATTATATATGAAAGTATTTTATGAACTGTAAAATGTTCAAAAGTAAAGCACTTTTATTGATGTCACTTTTAACCTTTTTATCTTCTGTGCATTTAAATGTTTTTTCTATTTTTAAAATATTTTGTTTTATTTAACCATTTTTTTTCTTTTTTAAACTTTTTATTTATTTTCAAATTGTTGTTATTCTTTTAATTTTTTTAAATTTATATTCTCATTGATTTCAGAGAGTAAGGGAGAGGGAGAGAAAGAAAGAAACATCAATTATGAGAGATAATCATGGACTGACTGCCTCCTGCATGCTCCCCACTGGGGATGGAGCCCCACAACTCGGGCATGTGCCCTTGACCAAAATGGAACCTGGGACCCTTCAGTCCACAAGCCAATGCTTTATCTACTGAGCCAAAGCAGCGAGGGCAAATTGCTATTATTCTTAATAGGACATACTGCCGCCACCCAGGAATCCTAGCTTGTACATAGACTTAGTTGATAAGGGGAAATGGCAATGTTCCCAGAACATCTGTAAAAGATCTGAGTCTTCTGCTTATATGTTTACAGGCCCCTAATTGCTAAGAAGAATCCTAAGATCCCAATGTCTAAGATGATGACCATCCTTGGGGCCAAGTGGAGAGAGTTCAGTGCCAATAACCCCTTCAAGGGGTCAGCAGCAGCTGTGGCGGCAGCAGCGGCTGCAGCAGCAGCAGCTGTAGCTGAGCAGGTGTCAGCTGCTGTCTCATCGGCCACCCCCATAGCACCTTCCGGATCCCCTGCCCTTCCACTCCCACCTGCTGCTGATATCCAACCCCCACCCATCCGAAGAGCCAAAACCAAAGAGGGCAAAGGTGAGAAACCCTCTTTGAACAACTGTCACCCCACCCTCCAAACCACACGTTCTCAAATTATAGTCTAGAACTCTTTTATCCTCTCAGCCCTGATTGTTGCAGGATAAATGTTTTCCAAGAAGCTTTCTCAGTGAAATCACAGAAAGGATCTCTGTGACCTCTGTTATCCCAGGGTGTCATGACCTCTGGTTTTTCTCCCTCATGCCACTCCTCATTCAGGTCCGGGCCATAAGAGGCGGAGTAAGAGCCCCCGAGTGCCTGACGGACGCAAGAAGCTTCGGGGAAAGAAGATGACACCACTCAAAATCAAGCTAGGGCTTCTGGGCGGCAAGAGGAAGAAAGGCTCCGTGAGTCGCCCTTCCCTGTTCGCTATCCACTTTCAGGGTGTCAAGGTTTGGGGGGGCGGGGCGGGTGTCCAGACACAGGGTCTTTGAGGGAAGCTGGAGTGGGAGCCAGAGGCCGGGGGAGGGAGTGAAATCAAGTCCACCTCTCTGACCGCCACGGGGCTGCGGGCAGTATGTTTTTCAGAATGACGAGGGCCCCGAACCAGAGGCTGAGGAGTCAGACCTGGACAGTGGCAGTGTCCACAGTGCCTCGGGCCGCCCTGATGGCCCTGTCCGCACCAAGAAACTAAAGAGAGGCCGGCCAGGAAGGAAGAAGAAGAAAGGTAAGGGCTGTCAGCTGTGTGTGACCTTGTCAATTTGCTTTCCTTTCATTCCTTCTTTGTCTTTCTTAGCTTCAATTTTGACTTCTTTATTCAAACCCTTCTCTGTCTCGCTCTCTCCCTTTCTCTCTCCCTCTTTTCTTCCCTCTTAATCCCCCAATCTCTCCCTCCCCCCCACCCTGCTCCCAATCCCTCTTTCTTTCTCTCTGTTCCTTTGCCTCCACCGGGGTGTTGACAGTCCTGGGCTGTCCTGCAGTGGCCGGGGAGGAAGAGGTTGATGGCTACGAGACGGATCACCAGGATTACTGTGAGGTGTGCCAGCAGGGTGGGGAAATTATTCTGTGCGACACCTGCCCTCGTGCCTACCACCTCGTCTGCCTTGATCCTGAGCTTGACCGGGCTCCTGAGGGCAAATGGAGCTGCCCCCACTGTGTGAGTACCTGGTGGCAGCATCTCAGGGACCCACCTGTCTTTTCCTCCTTGGTTTCAGTTGTCCCCTTCGTATGCCCAGATGCCTGGGCTTCTCAGTAACACGTTTAAGTGACCGAGATTCTAATTTGTTTCTCTCCCCGTCCCTTTGCTCCCCAAATCAACATTTATAGAAACGTAGACATCCTGTTTCTTTGTTCCCACCAGTCTTCCAGGCATTTCTAGGGTGTGGGTGTCCTGTCTTTGCTTCTATCTTCCAATCTCACTCCTGTTTCCTTTCTTCTGTCTGTCTCTGTGTCTTTCCTTGGCCTCCCAGGAGAAGGAGGGGGTGCAGTGGGAGGCCAAGGACGAGGAGGAGGAATATGAAGAGGAGGGAGAGGAAGAAGGGGAGAAGGAAGAAGAAGACGATCACATGGAATACTGCCGTGTGTGCAAGGATGGTGGGGAGCTCTTGTGCTGTGACGCTTGCATCTCCTCCTACCACATTCATTGTCTAAACCCACCCCTGCCTGACATCCCCAACGGTGAATGGCTGTGTCCCCGATGCACAGTGAGTGTACCCATCTCTCAGCGTTTACTGTCAGCCCCGGGACCCAAACGTTTAGCTCTTTCTCTGCTCTCCCCCACACTCAGCCCTAGATTCCGTGTGGGATCCCTCTCCTATTGTAACGATGGGCTCTTTCTGCCTTGTTCTTTCCTCCTCGTGTGTGTCCATCCTGAAGTGCCCCATGCTGAAAGGCCGTGTGCAGAAGATCCTGCACTGGCGGTGGGGGGAACCGCCCGTGGCCATGCCGGCCCCCCAGCAGGTAGATGGCAACCCAGATGCTCCACCTCCTCGTCCTCTTCAAGGCAGATCAGAGCGAGAGTTCTTTGTCAAGTGGGTAGGACTCTCCTACTGGCACTGCTCCTGGGCCAAGGAGCTGCAGGTACAAGGGCCTTTCCTTGCCCCCTGTCCTGGGACCCCCTTTGCTGCAATTCTCTCTCTCACCCTCCATTTTCTGTTCTTCCATATATACAGATTTTGCTTTCCCTCACATCAAGCCTTAGGCCCTCACACCATACCTACTCTCTTAGCTTGCAAATGTGGTGTTCTTGGTCTCTAGTCCTTTCTCTTAGTTTTCATTAGATTTCTAACCTCAGATATAACATAGTCTTCCTTAATCCCATCTCTTATCTAACTTTCACCATGTTTTACCTAATTCTCAATCTTTTTTTAAAATATATTTTTATTGATTTCAGAGAGGAAGGAAAAGGGAAAGAGAGATAGAACGTCAATGGTGAGAGAGAATCATCAATCAGCTGCCTCCTGCATGCCTCAGACTGGGGATTGAGCCCACAACCCAGGTGTTTGTCCAGACCGGGAATCAAACCATGACCTCCCAGTTCATAGTCAATGCTAAATCACTGGGCCACGCTGGCTGGGCTATAGTCTCAATCTTTTTTTTTTTTTTTTTTTTTTTTAGTATGTTTTATTGATTTTTTACAGAGAAGAAGGGAGGGGGATAGAGAGTTAGAAACATCGATGAGAGAGAAACATCAATCAGCTGCCTCCTGCACACTCCTCTCTACTGGGGATGTGCCCGCAACCACCGTACATGCCCTTGATGGGAATCGAACCTGGAATCCTTGAGTCCGCAGGCCCACCCTCTATCCACTGAGCCAAACTGGTTAGGGCTATAGTCTCAATCTTAATAAACCCATTCCCTGCCTCTTTTGCTTATTACATCCCCGCACACATCCTGACTGTTCTGTTTCATTGTATTCTCCTGCTTTAGCTTTAATTTGTGTGTCTCATCCTACCTCTTCCATTGCTCCCTTCCCTTTGTTCTCTGGGATAATACGATTATCTCTCTCCCCACAACCAAAACCCCCCCGTTCTCTGTGCCCCATCAGCTGGAAATCTTCCACTTGGTGATGTACCGAAACTACCAACGGAAGAATGACATGGATGAGCCCCCACCCCTGGACTACGGCTCTGGTGAGGATGATGGGAAGAGTGACAAGCGCAAGGTGAAAGACCCGCACTATGCTGAGATGGAGGAGAAATACTACCGTTTTGGCATCAAGCCAGAGTGGATGACGGTCCACCGTATCATCAACCACAGGTGAGTTCTTGGTCCGTGGGAAGGCCTTGGCCCTGCGATATGCCACTTTTCTCTTTGGAAGTATGGTCGCATGTTAGCCAAATAATTGATTTAATTAACCAAATAATTGATCTTTCTGAATCACTCCTGCTGCAGCCCCAGTCCTTCTGGCCTTGTTTCCTCCATGGGGATGGAAGAATCCAGGGGGAGAGCCCAGCGCAGCACTGACTTTTTTGCCGTTACTTCCTTTAATCTCTAATAGCACAGGAAATGACAGTTGAGTCTGAGGATCAGGGTGTGAAAGCAAAGCATGAAAAACATGATTCATACAGACCAGTGTTTTTAGTATTTCTTTATTCATAGTACTTATTACTGCCTAGTGCTATAATTTATTTTTCTGTTTCATTGTTGCCTTCTCCAGTAGAAATATGAGCTCCATGAGAATAGAATCATTTGTCTCTTCTGTTCACTCCTAACTCACCAGTGCCTGGCATATAGTAGATGCTTACTAAATACGGATTGGATGAACAAATGATATTGAAGCTCAGGGTGGTGTTTTTGTTTTATTTTGTTTTGTTTTTTTGTTAATCCTCACTCAAGAATATTTTTTCCGTTGGTATTTCAAAAGAGTAGAAGGGAAGGGGAGAGACAGAGAGAAACACCAGTGTGAGAGAGACACATTAACTGGTTGCCTCCCACACATTCCCCAACCAGTGCCAGCATCTAGCCTGCAACCGAGGTATGTACCTTTGACCGGAATTGAACCTGAGACCCTTCAGTCCCAAGGGTGACACTTTATCCACTGAACCAAACTAGTGAGGGCCCCAGGGATTTTTTTTTTTTAATATATTTTATTGATTTTTCACAGAGAGGAGGAGAGAGGGATAGAGAACTAGAAACGTCAATGAGAGAGAAACATTGACCAGCTGCCTCTTGCACACCCCCTTCAGGGGATGTGCCCGCAACCAATGTACATGCCCTTGACCGGAATCGAACCTGGAACCTTTCAGTCCACAGATCGACGCTCTACCACTGAGCCAAACCGGTTTCAGCCCCAGGGATGTTTTTTGATAGTTGATTTTTAGGAAGCCATTCTGAAAAAGTGAAGGTAGTATTTCAGCCATTCTGAATTCCCTTTTAGTGGCCAACATTGAAGATTAAGTGACAAATTATGCATGTTTGCTGATAATTGTGTATATTATGATTTTTTTCCTACTTGTGATCCATATGATTTTTCTCTTCCTATCCCACAGTATGGATAAAAAGGGAAATTACCACTATTTAGTAAAATGGAGGGATTTGCCATATGACCAGTCTACGTGGGAGGAAGATGAAATGAATATCCCTGAATATGAAGACCATAAGCAAAGCTACTGGAGACACCGGTGAGGGAGCTAAGTCAGGGATTAGAGGGAGTCTGAGGATAGGGGCATAAAAGCTAACCCTTTCGCACACAATAAAGTACAGTCGGGACAGACACAATCTAGAATTCAGGGCGTTGGGTACCTGGGCTAGGTTGTTTGGGGTGGGGCTGGTGCAGAGGCAGTGTGTGGAACAGAAATATGACTTCGCCTGAGTAATGGGAAAGAGGATGCTCAGGAGTAAGGAGTTAGCTGTAGAGGTGAGATCTAAGGGTGAGGGTAAAAAGCCTGGGAGAAAGGAAGTGGGAGAAAATGTAGGTTATGGGAAGTGGGAGATAGGTCTGGAATGAGCTCAGAGGAGTGGGGGTACCAAGAACCAGGCTCACTCAGGACCCACTCTTTTCCCAGAGAACTAATTATGGGGGAGGACCCTGCCCAGCCCCGAAAGTATAAGAAGAAGAAGAAGGAGCTGCAGGGCGATGGGCCTCCCAATTCTCCTACCAACGATGTAAGTCCTCTCCCTTGGCCTTTCTCTCATTTCCGGCACCGTGGTGATTGAGCATTTCCCAGGGGCAATGACAGACTTCCCAGAGTTCCAACAACTTCTTTAAGGGGTAGCTCTTTCTTCAACATTCAGTCTTGTCCCAAGAGTGGCTAGGAATTTTGGCATAAGAGTGAGAGCCAAAAAATAAAATAAATAAGATATAAAGAATGAGAGAGCCACTAGAGACAGAAGCACATAGGGCTCTTCCACCAGTTTCCTTCCTCATGGTACTGCTGGGTGTTTTAAGGAGGGAGGGGGAGGGACTAAGGACTAGAACTTTCATGAGCTCTGGTTATAGTAGAAGGAATTGTAATCCATCTTAGTACCAGTGCCAGGGAGGAGGAGAGAGGAGGAGACCAAGACAGCTGACAGTTCCCTTGAGCTTTGTGACTTCTTAACTCTACAGCCTACAGTGAAATATGAGACTCAGCCACGGTTTATCACAGCCACTGGAGGCACACTGCACATGTATCAGCTGGAAGGGTTGAATTGGCTACGCTTCTCGTGGGCCCAGGGCACTGACACCATTCTGGCTGATGAGATGGGGCTGGGCAAGACCATACAAACCATCGTCTTCCTCTACTCACTCTATAAGGAGGTGCTGGATTCTGGGGCTCCTGAGAGGGAAGCCAGGCTGAGGTCGCCTGGACTGGGGAATGAGGGAATGGAGGGGGAGGGCAGAGGATGGAGGGAGGGTGTGACAGGCGGAGGACTGGGGTATACAACCTAGACTAATGGTCCGCCCTACCCTGTACTCTCAGGGCCACACAAAGGGTCCCTTCCTGGTGAGTGCCCCGCTCTCGACCATCATTAATTGGGAGCGGGAGTTCCAGATGTGGGCACCCAAGTTCTATGTGGTGACGTACACGGGTGACAAGGACAGCAGGGCCATCATTCGTGAGAATGAGTTTTCCTTTGAAGACAATGCCATCAAAGGTGGCAAGAAAGCCTTTAAGATGAAGGTAAGCCCCTCTGCTTCATATCCTCTTAGACCCCAAACCTGTCATTTCTTTGCCCCAACCAAGATTTCAGTTTATTTATTCCTCACCCGGCTTCTTCCTCCTTTGCCCACCCACACCTCTCTACATTCCTGCCCGAGAGACATAGTAGGTACTTCCAGGCGTGTACATGGATCTGTCCATACTGGACATGTGGTGAAAGTTTGGGGTCATGTTCAGTAATCCCTGCATGGAGCCAAAGTTGCAGGACAGGATAACTGACTCCCTTTGGCAGTCATGGTCAGGACAGGGTGCCTTGGTAGAAAATGGGGGTTTAGAGACTTGGATGTCGGGTGGCAGCCGAATGGATAATGTTGTGTTGACAGAGGGAGGCACAGGTGAAGTTCCATGTTCTCCTGACATCGTATGAGTTGATCACCATTGATCAGGCAGCACTTGGCTCCATCCGCTGGGCCTGCCTTGTGGTGGATGAGGCCCATCGACTCAAAAACAACCAGTCCAAGGTGAGTGAAATACTCAGGCCTCAGAAACTTGAGGTTGTGGACTCCTACTTGCCTCGATCCTAAAATATTAAGTAGCAGGGTCTTTTCTGTAGTCCAGGAGGCAAGATACCTGAGACGGTCTGGGAGAAGTCCAGATTGGAAGAGGGTGAGGACTGGGGATTTGCAGCCTCTGATCCTGGAGGAAATGGAAGCTGTAGGCAGGAAAAGGTTGATACTGTGAACCAACCATTTGCCACTGATGGGCCCTTTCTCCTGTCTTCTTGTCCCATTTTCTAGTTTTTCAGGGTCCTCAATGGCTACAAGATAGATCATAAGTTACTGCTAACAGGGACTCCATTGCAAAATAATCTGGAAGAGCTTTTCCATCTGCTGAACTTCCTCACCCCAGAAAGGTTTAAGTAAGTAACTCTGTGGGGTAGTCTGCAGAAATGAGAGGGGGAGGGGCTAAAATAAGTGGGTAGAGGATTCATCTGAAGTGAAGAATAGAGCTTGAAGTCAGAGGCAAAGAACGTGACCGCTGTTAATATCTCCTCCTGGCTTCTAGCAACCTGGAGGGCTTCCTGGAGGAGTTTGCAGACATATCCAAAGAAGACCAGATTAAAAAACTGCATGATTTGCTGGGGCCACATATGCTTCGGAGGCTCAAGGCTGATGTCTTTAAGAACATGCCTGCCAAGACAGAGCTCATCGTTCGCGTGGAGCTGAGTCCCATGCAGAAGTGAGACGCAAGGCGGGTTCCCTGGCCTCGGGGCTGGGCACTTGTTGGCAGCTTTCCAAGAATTGGTGATCAAGTGCAACATCATAATCATTTCTTTTATTGTGTCTCTTCTCTACCCCCACCCCTGGCCTTTAGGAAATACTACAAGTATATCCTGACTCGAAATTTTGAGGCCTTGAATTCACGAGGCGGTGGAAACCAAGTGTCGCTGCTGAACATCATGATGGATCTTAAGAAATGCTGCAACCATCCATACCTCTTTCCTGTGGCTGCTATGGTAGATACAAGAGCTGGGAACTGATTAGTAAACACCTGGTTTTCTAACAGTGGGAGGTGTTGAGCACAGAGCTGATGCCGGGACTGGATTTCTGAGGGGAGTAGGAATTTAAAAGGTAGTGGAGGCTGGGTTTGGGCTTCTAGCTTTCCAAGGCACAGTTAGGATATAGGGGTATGTTTCCTTATCCTCTCATCCTTTCTCCCTTTTTTTCAGGAGTCCCCAAAACTTCCCAGTGGGGCTTATGAGGGTGGGGCACTTATTAAGGCGTCTGGGAAGCTCATGCTGCTGCAGAAGATGCTGCGGAAGCTAAAGGAGCAAGGACACCGAGTACTCATCTTCTCACAGGTGACCCAGCCCCTAGTTCATTCTCGCCAGACTAATCCCTGACCTCGTTCCTGCACCTGCCTTGGTATGAGAGATTAGGAGATTGCACCCTTAAGAGTTTCTGGTATAGCTAAGTTCCTCTTGCACTCTGATCCCTTTTCTTTGGAAGCTGTAGCCAGTTTCTTTCAAGCCACATGGAGAGAATGGGAGGGTGAACCATCTGCCTCTTCAAGGAGGTCTCTGGGGACTGCTAACTATTTCTATTTCTTAACCTTATTGGAGAGGGAAAGAGAGACAGACCTTTTGGAAATCTTATGAAAGCTATGGGTCCAGTCTCTAGAAAAGCTGCATAATTAAACAGTTGTCTACAGGTTTTTAGGGGATTTATAGATTTCTTTGAAAACTTTTTCTGGGTCTTAGAGAAGAGTCTCTGCCGTAGGAGAAATGACCTGAAATCAAGAAGAAATTATGACAAGAATGTGGAACGCGGGGGGGAGCAGCACCAGGGGAGCATAGGGGTGCAGGGGGACAAGGGTAAAGATTGGGGTTGAGGGAAAATAAGAATAGCCAGGGCACACCCCACTACCTCCTCATTCTGGACTCTTCTTTTCCCTTGCTCCAGATGACCAAAATGTTAGACTTGCTGGAGGATTTCTTGGACTACGAAGGCTACAAGTATGAGCGCATCGATGGTGGCATTACTGGTGCCCTCAGGCAGGAGGCCATCGATAGGTTCAATGGTGAGGGGGGCGACGCCTTGGTCCTGTGTGTGGGAGGCCTGAGAAGCCAGGGCATAGGCCCCGGGGCTGGGAGGGGCCTCGTCTGGGAGTATCCTAGCCACTTGGGCTTTGAGTTGGGGATTGTTTGTAGTTGGGAACATCTAGGAGCAAGTAGACTGAATTGCTGGCCACAAGAAAAGCCTTATCTCCTCATTCACACCTCCTAGCTCCTGGCGCCCAACAATTCTGCTTCCTCCTGTCCACCCGAGCTGGGGGCTTGGGCATCAATCTGGCCACTGCAGACACTGTCATCATCTTCGATTCTGACTGGAACCCCCATAATGACATCCAGGTGGGAACTCGCCTCCTAGAGCTTCTGCACCATTTGGCAAGGTGGCATTGGTTCATGGAGGAGGGTGTCATGTTCTGGGTCAGAAATAAACCTCTGGGGGCCCCTAGCCAGTTTTGCTCAATGGATAGTGCATTGGCCTGCAGACCAAAGGGCCCTGGGTTCGATCCCAGACAAAGGCACATACCTTGGTTGCAGGCTCCTTCTGGCCCAGGCCTCCTCCTGCAGGAGGCAATAAATCAATATGTTTCTCTCACATTGATGTTTCTCTGTGTCCTCTCCTCTCACTTCTACTCTCCCTGAAAATCAGTGAAATTGATTAACAAAAAAACAAAAAGAAGGAAATAAACCTGTAGGGGACAGATAGAAGAATTCCTTCGGCCTCCTTTCCTGAGATACCATGTGGATGGCATCTCCTCTGCCTCTCCCCTGGCCCGCCCTCACTTTCTCCCTCTCCTGCAGGCCTTTAGCCGCGCTCATCGAATCGGCCAGGCCAACAAAGTAATGATTTACCGGTTTGTGACTCGTGCATCAGTGGAAGAGCGGATCACACAAGTGGCCAAGAGGAAGATGATGCTGACACATCTGGTAGTGCGTCCCGGGCTGGGCTCCAAGGCGGGCTCCATGTCCAAGCAGGAGCTGGATGACATCCTCAAATTCGGCACCGAAGAACTATTTAAGGATGAAAACGAGGGTGAGAACCTCCTTTGCAACTTTGGGAAACTGGCCCCTGCTCTCCCGTGAGCACTTCTCTTCTGAAACCCTTGAAGAAAAGCTGTTCTATTCAGTCTGTGGAGAAAGATTGGCCCCTTAACTCACATGGAGGGTTGAAACAACAAATCACTACCTTGACTTCCGGGGAGAGGGCCTTCTACAGAGCTCCTGTGGAAGGGAAGCAAAGTGAAATGTTTTCCTTTGAAATTTTTATTTATTTTTATTTTTTTAAATTAATTAACTTATTTATTTTTTATATATTTTATTGTTTTTTTACAGAGAGGAAGGGAGAGAGATAGAGAGCTAGAAATGTCGATGAGAGAGAAACATCGACCAGCTGCCTCCTGCACACCCCCTATGGGGGATGTGCCCGCAACCAACGTACATGCCCTTGACCGGAATTGAACCTGGGACCTTTCAGTCCACAGACCAACGCTCTACCACTGAGCCAAACCGGTTTCGGCTCCTTTGAAATTTTTAAAGTTCTGCCCAAGATTTTGGTTGGAACTCAAGAGTTCTCCCTTGTTCCCCATCTCTCCCAGGGGAGAACAAGGAGGAGGACAGCAGTGTAATTCACTATGACAATGAGGCCATTGCTCGGCTGTTGGACCGAAACCAGGATGCAACTGAAGACACTGATGTGCAGAATATGAACGAATATCTCAGTTCCTTCAAGGTGGCCCAGTATGTGGTGCGAGAGGAAGACAAGGTGAGAGGCTGGGCTAGGTAGGTACTGTCTAGCGCAGGCCAACCCTGAAGGGCGGTTTCCTTTACTGGACCTCAAAGTAGGAGGATCCTTTTCCTTTTGTTTTTATCTGATCTTTTATCTTAGTGCCCAGCAAAGAGCAGTAGTGAACCACAAACAACTTCTTGGTCTAATGGGTCAAATTGGACTTTGGAGAAAGACTTAGGCACTGAAAGCACAGCACTGCTACACAAGGAAGGGTACTTTCTGAGTCAGAGCAGGAGGGACTCAGAGGACACTAGAGGAGAGGTTTTGAAAGGGAAATAACAAAGAGAAGCATACTGAAGGTAAGAGATGAGGAAAAGGAAAACGTGCAATGTCCAGAAAATTTATGCAGAGTGGAGATCTAGGAGGCAGGAGGTAAAAGGACTGGGTGAAGAGGGAAGCCACCAGCATTCCTTCTGCTGCTGTTCAGATTGAGGAGATCGAACGAGAGATCATCAAGCAGGAGGAGAATGTGGATCCTGACTACTGGGAAAAGCTGCTGAGGCACCACTATGAGCAACAACAGGAAGACCTAGCCCGAAACCTCGGCAAGGGCAAGCGAGTTCGCAAGCAAGTTAACTACAATGATGCTGCTCAGGAGGACCAAGGTAAGGACTGTACTCCCTCCACTCCCCACCTCCCAGTGCAGGAACGGAGAAGCAGAGAGTGCTGAGGAAGGGCCTGAGGCTGGGGACATTTAATAGGAAAGAGAGAGGACTAGAAGTCAGGCTTTCTTAAAGGGGAAAGAGATTAAAAGGATCAGTAGAAGCTACCCAGAGGCCAGGTGGATTTGCAAGCGTTCTAAACTATCCGGTGATTGTGGAGGGCTCCTGTGGACACCCAGGAGTCCTTGCTTAGAGTGGGTTACACAGGATTCAGGAGGTGTCAGACAAGGTGTGTGGTAAGTGGACATGGTTCGGGTATATGGCTTTGAAGTCAGACTGTGGACCGTCATCCAGCATCCCGGAGGAAAGGACTTGTCCATGGAGCCGTCACTGACCACTGAGTCCTTTCCGCTTGCAGATAACCAGTCAGAATACTCAGTGGGATCAGAGGAGGAAGATGAAGACTTTGATGAGCGTCCTGAAGGTGACATCTACTTTCCTGACTTTCTACCATATCTCTTCTCATTTCACTTCCTATTGTCCTTTAAACCCAGTTTTTATATAAATAAATGTCTTTTTTAAAAAAAAGGAAAAAGTAGAGATTCCAGATAAGCAGAAAGGAAGAAATATTCCTAACCTCACCACTGATAAAATTTGGCATATATAACCACACAGGCTTAGAAGCTTAAATAAAAGATAAAGAAAGGTTACATCCTTTTACATTCCCATCAGTAATCTTGCTTGCATCAAACATTTAATACTAATTTTTAAATATGACTTGACTCTTTTAGACCTACTGAGTTAGTAGTTCTGAAAGTGCTTGGAAGAAAATTAGAAGGGCCTCAGACATGTCACAGGCCTTCCCCGAGTTCTTTATCTTGTGGGAATGGGGTATTGGCAAGGGTGGAAGAAGTAACGGATCTACTTACCGGGGTCACCCCTGTCCAGGGCGTCGACAGTCAAAGAGGCAGCTCCGGAATGAAAAAGACAAGCCACTGCCTCCACTGCTGGCTCGCGTTGGGGGCAACATCGAGGTGAGAGCTGACCCAGGGGCCCACGGAAGCTGGGGTTGGAAATGGAGTCCTTGAGGGAGAAAGGACCGAGAAATGAGATGCCTGGACATCCTCGCCCACTTCCTCCTCTCCTCAGGTGCTGGGATTCAACACCCGCCAGCGGAAGGCTTTCCTCAATGCCGTGATGCGCTGGGGAATGCCCCCACAGGATGCCTTCACCACCCAGTGGCTGGTGCGAGACCTGAGGGGCAAGACGGAGAAAGAGTTCAAGTGAGTGTGGGGGATGCGGGACAGAGGTGGATGAAGGGGTAAGAGCTTTGAAAGGGTGTTACTTCTTTCCTCTTGGCCACCATATGATGTAATCTTACTCAGCTGACCATCATGCTCCCTGCCGTGCAACGGGTCCTGGCTCGGTTTCCTGGGAGGTGGGCTTAGCCTGACCCACCTTCCCTCAGACGAGCCGAGAGTAGAGAGGCTGGGCGTCCTTCCCGCTGGGAGAGGTGGCTAAGAAAGGAACCTCACCTACACTGTCCTTGCCTCACATTTACTTGGCCCGGGAGCTGGTGAAAAGGATGAGGAGCTGACTGATGGGGCCTAGGAATGAAGTACCAAAGCCCAGGAGACATGGAGGAACAAGAGAAGGGGCAGGTGGGGGGTTAGGATTTGGAGGGGCTCAGGAGGACCCCTGGAGGCACCTCAAAAAGTTAGGGTTCAGGGGTTCTGTAACCCCTGTCCTTCTTAAGGCTCTTCTAACCCACCTTCAATCCCCATGTGTCTTAGGGCCTATGTGTCTTTGTTCATGCGCCATCTCTGTGAGCCCGGGGCAGACGGCTCTGAAACATTTGCTGACGGGGTCCCTCGGGAGGGCCTGAGTCGCCAACAAGTGTTGACCCGCATTGGAGTCATGTCTCTCGTCAAGAAGAAGGTATCACATGGCCCATGCACACAGGCAACGGGGCACTTAGGGCCTGGGCCTGGGCCTGGGGCGGGCTGGAGGGGATCAGTGGGGGGATAAGAGGGGCATATGTAACACTTCCAACAATAAAGAATTATTTTTTAAAAATAAGAAGGCATCAGTCTTCCCCTCACGAAAAGGACCAAGCTGATTGCCTGCTCCATGTCCTTCCTCTGTCTTGCATCCCTGAGTTCCAGACTCAGGCTGGTTCAAGATGAGACAGAGGGGACTGGACCTCCTTTGGGTCCATTGCCTGAAGCAGATCCTTGTCTGTGACTGTCCCTCTCCCCTCAGGTACAGGAGTTTGAGCACATCAATGGGCGCTGGTCAATGCCTGAGCTGATGCCTGACCCCAGTGCTGAGTCTAAGCGCTCCTCCAGAGCCTCCTCTCCTACCAAAACGTCTCCCACCACCCCGGAGGCTTCTGCTGCCAACAGTCCGTGCCCCTCCAAGCCCGGTAATGGGTCCGCATGGGTGGAGAGAGGGAGATGGGGCCAGGATCGGATGGGGCCAGGCCCAGAGGGATTGGAGTCAAGGGGGGGAGTTTCTGCCTTCTTCACTCTGCTTTCCCCGGTAGCTACTCCAGCTCCAAGTGAGAAAGGAGAAGGCATAAGGACACCGCTTGAGAAGGATGAAGCCGAAAACCAGGAGGAGAAGCCAGAGAAGAATAGTAAAATTGGGGAGAAGATGGAGACAGAGGTGTGTGGCCACCTGGAATGGGGGTCTTGAAGGCCATGTGTCTCGGAACCCCCAGTTCATTCAGGTTCATTGTCTTCCAGGCTGATGCCCCCAGCCCAGCCCTATCCGTCGGGGAACGGCTAGAGTCAAGGAAGATTCCTCTAGAGGATGAGGAGTCGGGGGGAGCTGGAGAGACAGAGCCTGAACCTGGGTACCGGGGGGACAGAGAGAAGTCAGGTGGGTGCATGGACTTGGGCGTGATGGGCTTAGAATTTGGGAGTTTCCTCTTCTGGGTTCAGGGAATGAGGGTGACATTCTCCCTTCCTGTCCCTTACCTCCTCCCACAGCCACAGAGTCGACGCCAGGAGAGAGGGGGGAGGAGAAGCCGTTGGATGGACAGGAACACAGGGAGAGGCCAGAGGGGGAAACAGGGGATTTGGGCAAAAGAGGTAATGGGTGGAAGGACGGTACACTTGGGGACGGAGGGAAGCAGGGAGGTGGAGTCTGGGGGACCAAATGCCTGGCACCCAGGTGGGTTGCTGCTCCCAAGTTCCAGCAGAGCACAGGGTGCGGGCCTAGGATCTGGAAGGAGACCCTCGGGTGTAAGCTGTGCCCCCTCTGCCCTAGCAGAGGAAGCGAAAGGGGGCCGGGAGCTTCGATCTGGGCCTCGAGACGAGCCACGACCCAATGGGCGGCGCGAGGAGAAGGCGGAGAAGCCACGGTTCATGTTCAATATTGCCGACGGCGGCTTTACAGGTGGGTGGGTGCCTCTCACTGCCGTCTGCTTTTCACTGGGGTTTGCTCATCCTCATGGGGGTCTCTTTTTGCCGGAGGCCTTCAGTTCCAAGTAACTGCCAATGAAATGATACATTTTGTGTCTACTCCTGCCCTCAGTCCTTCTTAAGTATTGGTATATTCCTAACTCTAATGTTGTCTTTAATTCTATCTTTATCTGTTTTGTTTGGGGTTTTTTTTTTTTTTTTTACTATATTTTTTATCGATTTCAGAGAGGAAGGGAGAGGGTAAGAAAGAGAGAAACATCAATGATGAGAGAGAATCATTGACCTGCTGCCTCCTGCTCGCTCCACACTGGGCATGTGCCCTGACCAGGAATCAAACCCTGACTTCCTGGTTTATAGGTTGATGCTCAACTACTGAGCCACGCCGGCTGGGGTTTACCTTTATTCTCAATTCTAACTTGAACCTTGTTTGTAATTACTTTTACGCTTAACCCTACTCTGACCTTGACCCGTACCTCACGAAGAGCCTTAGTGTCCTCCACCACTACTCAGTTCCCTCTTCTCTACCTTTTTGTTGGGTTGGATGGGATTTGAAAATTCCTGATGCTCATCTATCTTCCACCCTCTTTTCAGAGCTTCACACGCTGTGGCAGAATGAGGAACGGGCAGCTATTTCCTCGGGGAAACTCAATGAAATCTGGCACAGAAGACACGACTATTGGCTTCTGGCTGGGATTGTTCTGTATCCTTTGATACAAATACAAGACAGAAACGGTTCTCACAACCTAGAGAGAGGGGAGTTACAGGGAAGAGGAGTCCACACCCAGAGAAGGGGGCATAGTGCCACACTTTGGGGAGATCAAGCCCAATCCATTCCTGTTACATTCCTTGATGGTCCTCTTCCTTCCTTGGCAGCCATGGCTATGCACGGTGGCAGGACATCCAGAATGATGCTCAGTTTGCCATTATCAATGAGCCATTTAAAACGGAAGCCAATAAGGGGAACTTTCTGGAGATGAAAAATAAGTTTCTGGCCCGGAGATTCAAGGTGGGGATGAGGAACAAAAGGAACAGTAGTGAAGAGGGGCTTGGGTCAGAGGGGGCCGGTCTGGTTGGACGGTGGGGAAGGTGGTGATGCTCGAGGCCAAGGCTGGCGTGTAAGCTTGTGTTGGTGAGTGTGGTCTGGGTCTGCGCTGGTGCGAGGGTCGTACTGGTGAGGAGTGGGCATGCCCCGGGTCAGCAGTGAGAGCGATGTGGTCTCCAGTCTGGCTCCCCGTCCCCTCCCCCACTGCTGGCAGAGCCTGCGCTAACCCCCTCCCCCTGCCCTCAGCTCCTGGAGCAGGCGCTGGTGATTGAGGAGCAGCTTCGGCGGGCGGCCTACCTGAACCTATCACAGGAGCCGGCGCACCCCGCCATGGCCCTCCACGCCCGCTTCGCCGAGGCCGAGTGCCTGGCCGAGAGCCACCAGCACCTCTCCAAGGAGTCGCTGGCGGGGAACAAGCCGGCCAACGCTGTACTGCACAAGGGTAAGGGCCGCGGCGGCCCCGCGCGGGGGAGGGCCCACAACGCTGCGTAAGTCTTCACCCCGCACCCCTCAAAATCTTCCCACCCCTCTGACCCCTTACCCTCTGAACCAACCCCCTCTGACCTCTAACCCCACCCTAACCCACCTGGCTTGTAGCCTCTAGGGTTTGTGCAGCCAATCTCACCCTTGCCTGATAGCATTCACATCAGTGCCTAAGAGAGGGACTTTCTCCCCAGAACTCCGTGAGGCTGTGCCACATCCCCTCCGAAGGGTAGATGATCCTCATTGACCCACATGCCTGCCATAGCACCCTCTCTGGGGCCTTGGCCTGTGTAGAGCCACAAAAATCCTTATCCCCAATCCCACAAATCACATTCCTCAGATCTCATTCACCCCACGAAGGGGAAACTACCACCATCCCACCCTCTGACCTTATCCCATGAAACTTCCCTTTGACCTTCAACCTTTCCTCCCAAACCTTCTTACCTTGAAAGTAAAATATCAAATTCCAAGGCCCTTTACCCATCTAATCCTATTTGATGTAGTAATTGACTCCTGGACCCTTTGATTCCTGTTTTAATTCCTAATGCTGACCCTCTAACCTCCCTCCCCCATTACATATTAAAACCTTGATCCTTAAATCTTTGACACCACTTACCACCTCCCCACGCCTCCTATTTCCTCCCTATCATCCCCAACCCCAAAACTTCCTTCTTCCAATATGGGATGTTCTGACAACTCCCCGCCCCTGTGTCTTCCAATGTCCTCCCCTCTCCTCCTTTTCTCCATATTCCCTTTTCCTTCTCTCTCCATCTGTCTCTGTGATGATCTGGTCTCTTTGCCTCTTTACCTGTCACTTACCTACTCACTGAGTCACTCTCTTTTTCTGTTACTTCTATCATTTTCTTCTTCTCTGATTCTTTGACATCTGTGTCCTCTCACTCTCTTTTTCTGACTTTATCTGTCCATCTGATTCTTCATCTCTTTTCCTGGCTCCATCTCTCCCTTTCCCTGTCTTTCTCTTGCCTTTCTTTCTCCATGGCCCGGGCCCCAGTTCTGAACCAGCTGGAGGAGTTGCTGAGCGACATGAAGGCAGACGTGACCCGCCTGCCAGCCACGCTGTCTCGAATACCCCCCATCGCAGCCCGCCTTCAGATGTCCGAGCGCAGCATCCTCAGCCGGCTGGCCAGCAAGGGCACGGAGCCTCACCCCACACCGGTAACCTCCTTTCCCTCTAATTCCATTCTCCCTGTTGGTACTCCTGCATGTATACATACTTACTCTGAATCCTATACAACCTGGGAAAACGACTTTAGTATACGCATCACCCTCGAGGCTCCTGTATATTATACCCGTCAGTAGTTCTAGATTTGGTCCTTAACGTTTTCCCTTCAGCTAATTTCCTTTCAGACTGTGGACTCTAACTTGGGTTCCCTCTATTCCAGGTCTTTCCCCCGGGCCCGTACGCCACCCCTCCGGGGTACGGGGCGGCCTTCAGCACCGCTCCCGTAGGGGCTCTGGCCGCCGCAGGCGCCAACTACAGCCAGATGCCAGCAGGGTCCTTCATCACAGGTCAGCTGACCCCCTCACTCCTCCTTTTCCAAGCTTCTCCCTGCTCAGCTCTCTTTTACTGCTCCAGCCCGTCTCATTTCCTTGGAAATACCCAGTGTTTTATGGAATGGAGTTGTTCTGGGGTTTAATATTCCCACCCCTTTCTGAGCTTCTCTTCCATTTCCTTGCTCAAAAAACCTCATCCAGGGTTTCAGTGGTATCTCTTACCTGGGCTACTTCAGGAAGAGAGTGTGAATGAGAAGGGGGTATAGTGGGAGGTGGAGCATGTGTTCCCTCATGTGGGGGATCTCAGGGAGAGGTGTTTGCTCTGGTCTTACCATCCCTACCCTGGACCACTGCAAGTGGCATGAGGTGACTTAGAAATGAGAATATACTCCCCGGCCTTTGTGGCTCAGTCGTTGAGCGTCAACCCATGAACCAGGAGGTCGCTCTTGATCCCCAGTTGGGGCAAACAGGGGGTAGCTGATCAATGATTCTCTCTCATCATTGATTTTTTAAAAATATATTTTTATTGATTTCAGAAAGGAAGAGAGAGGGAGAGAGAGACAGAAATATCAATGATGAGAGAATCATCGATTGGCTGCCTCCTGCACGTCCCACACTGAGGATCAGACCGCAATCCGGGCATATGCTCTAACCGAGAATCAAACCATGATTTCCTGGTTCATAGGTCGATGCTCAACCACTGAGCCATGCTGGCCAGACTCCTTATTGATGTTTCTAACCCTCTCTCCATCTCCCTCCCTCTCTTTGAAGTCAATTACAAAAAAAAGAGAGAGAACGAAAATATACTATTGTCAGAAAGCGATGTTCGGGAGTGAAGTAGGGATTTGACCTCTTTTTTTTTTTTTTTTTAATATATTTTATTGATTTTACACAGAGAGGAATTGAGAGGGACAGAGAGTTAGAAACATCGATGAGAGAGAATCATCGATCAGCTGCCTCTTGCACACCTCCTACTGGGGATGTGCCCGCAACCAAGGTACATGCCCTTGACCGGAATCAAACCCGGGACCTTTCAATCCGCAGGCCGACGCTCTATCCACTGAGCCAAACCGGTCCCGGCGGGATTTGACTTCTTTATCCCCTTTCCCAACAGCCGCCACCAACGGCCCTCCAGTGCTGGTGAAGAAGGAGAAGGAAATGGTGGGAGCGTTAGTGTCAGACGGGCTGGATCGGAAGGAGCCCCGAGCCGGGGAGGTGATCTGTATAGACGACTGACTGGATCCCAGGCCGGCCCTTCACCCAGGCCCCGTGCCCGAGGCCGACCCCCAGCTCAGGCTCCGGGGTCTGCTGCCAGTCCTCCGCCTTCCCCACCCGCTGGGCCACCACGGGGCTAGGAGCCCCCTTACCCCTCTCTGACTCCTCTTTCCAAGAAGGGCCTTTGTCTTTCTCCGCTCCCACACATCTTCCCCACCACGCTTTGAAGACTGTGCTGGGTGGGAATTGGTTAGCAGGGTCTTCCAGGAACCTTTATCCTCCCTCCTCTGCCAAACACACAGCTTCCCAGTAAACGGTTGTGGGAGGTGAGAGCTGGAGCCTTCATTCCTGCAATCTAAGCTCCGCCTTGTGCAGAGGCGGGGGTTAGCACTGCCTGGCCTTTAGAAGGTTCGTGGAGGAAAGGGAGCCTTGGAGGAGGAGGGGCCTTTAGATAAGGATGACGATGAGCCCTGGCAGAGAGAGCGGGAAGAGGAGGGGTGGCTGCATGTTTCCCTCCCTTACCTCTCCTCCTTAAACAGAGTGTGGAGCAGTTACAAGGGAGCCCATTGCTGTTCCGCCTCAGAATAAAGGCGCCGTTCACTGGCTCAGTCTCCTCCTGTGTATTGGCATCTGACCCCCTCCGCAGGGGCCAAGAACCACCCCTACAAAGAGAGTGATGGTTGGGCGATACTCCCTCAAGCCAAAGAGGAGCTCCCCAATCTGCCCTAGGGACCCAGGTAACCTAGAAAGGGTGGGAGAGAACACGTGGGCCAGATGTTGGGGGGACCCCCAGCGCTGGGGCTCAGGTTCTTTGAGGACTTCTCCCCTCTCTCCTGAAGGCCTGAACAGACTAAATTTGAGTGTGTGAGGCAGGGGCCTAGTCAGGGGGCTATTTGCTTTTAGGACCAGAGGGGGAAAATGGAGAGCAGGCTAGGGATACGCGGGCACACACACCCTCTTCCCGGAGGGGCTGAGGAGAGTGGCAGTTTGCATGGCGAACCCCCCACTTCCTCTTCGCTGCCCCTTCACTTTCTTGCTGGCCCCTCCCCGGCCTTTTCACACTCACTCCTGGTCTGTCCCAGCCCCCTCTTCTGTATCAGGTTTATTGGTTGTACATATAAATTATACTTTCCTTTCTGTGTGCTCTGTTGTTTTTGAGTGGGAGTTCTTTGACTCGGGGGGAGGGATAAAGAAAGGATTTTGCTGTTTCATATTCTCTATCTTTTTCTCTTTTTAAAAACCTTGTGACTACCTTTTTCTTTTTTATTTCTTGGATCATCAATTAAAACTCCAAGGCTTTTCCCAACCCCGATCCTAATGTGACGAGCTCAGTTTGGAGATGGAGGGTGAGCAGCAGGATACCGATACAGGCCTCAGGTTGAGGTAGCAGGGATTCTGGACAGAAGTGTGTGCGGGGTTGCCTGCTGCGATTCAGAACTGCCTTCTACTCATCCTTTTGATCATCTTTCCATCTCCATCCTTCCCATGCTTAGTTCCCGCAAGAGTCAGCAGAGGTCACCAAAGCTCCACGGGTTCAGTCCCGAGTGTGAATTGCGTCTTTTTTTTTTTTTTTTTTTTTTTTTTTTTTTTTAAGAGGTGGGGAGTGTGGGGTCACACCTCCATAGCTTGCTAAGTATTTTAACTGCTAGACACTTCTTTGACATGTATCGTTCACTCCCAGGGCTGCTCAGAAGCTGAGAGAGGACCGACACTTTGTTTTTGAATGTTAAAAAATGAAAGATAAAATTCAACATACACAGCTGAGAGAGGTCAATTTTTGAATGTTAAAAGGTTCAACAAACATTTATTGAGTATTGGTACATACTGTGCATTAACACTGTTGTTGGCACTGGAGATAAAATAGTCACAAGTCAGTTACTACTTTCATGGAGCTTACACTTTAGTAGGGACACTAACAAAACACATACTATCTGAAAATAAAGGCAAAGAACATAAAACAAGGCATCATGCTATAGAAGGTGAGGGAGGGACAACACCAGGTTGATGCTAAAAAAGGCTTCTCAAAAGAGGGAACATTTAAGCTGAGACTTAAGGACAGGAAAAACCAAAATATGGTTTAAATTCACATTTTTAACTCAGAGGAAAATCCAATGATGCACATGAACTTAGGTTTCATCAGCAACAGAATGTCATTTCAGAACCTTCAATAAAATAGTACAAAATTTATTCAATACCATTTGTGTTCTAAATATTTCACCCATAGATGGTAACCTAGAGCACGTAGGACCTGGGCTGACAAATTTTTATGTGTACACAGATCAGTTGGGATTCTTGTTAAAATGCAGGTTCTGATTCAGCAAGTGAAGTGGAATCCTGATACTTTGTACTTCCAACAAGCCCCCACTGACTATGTTCTGTAAGATACTGATGGGATTTAAGATCTGATGCTTTACCAATTGTCTCTTTTCTATCCTTGATAGGCCCTCATTAGGGCCTCAGATGAATGTTCTCTGGACCTTCTGATACCTGCCCTAACAGGTTGGAGGGGGATTCTGAAATGATGCAGGACAGAGGCAGCTGGATAATTTTAGGAAAACAGAACTGGGGGGGGGGGGGGGGGGGGGAAGGAGACAGCCAAACCAAACGGCTTATTTTTCTCAAGTCTCTTGGTGAAAAAGAAGTGAGATTAACATGAAAATCAGCCTCTGTCCTGTTCCTTTTTTCTTTTTTTTCTCTTTTTCATTTTCAAACCATTGATATATAATTGCTAAAATGGGACCTGTTGCTCCCACACACCAGAGTTGCCCTGGACAAAAGCCAAGTCACAGCTAAGGAAACAATCTGTCTTCTTCCCACGGGCACATAGACTGTTTTTAATCATCCCTGGGCCACTCTATCCTAAATACTGGCACAGTCAGCAGATGGGGGCGATTCGTCTAGGAGCCTCCCCAGCTCAGCATCCACACCTTCCAGGGCGTTCCCTCCTGCCCTCGGCTGCACTTCCTCATCAGTGCCAATCCTGGGATGGGAGAGGGGGTAGGCTTGGCATCAGCCCCTTGTACCACAGCTCGCCCTGGGAATGCAGCTCCCACCTTCCTTCGGCCTCAGCTCCCGGGCCTCGGGGTCACAGCGTGCAGCGAGTCATGTGGGCCAAGTCCTTGATCTCCGGACAGTACAGAACTGCGGGGAAGAAGAAGGGTCAGTGGCAGCGGGAAGATGCAGTCTAACCCTGGGCATTCTCTTCCCCCAGCCCGTCTCTGTAGCCTCCCGGGGCGGCCCCTCACCGTTGCTAGGCAGCGGGCGCCGCCAGCGGCGCGCGGGCGACAGCACCCGGTCCCAGAGCCGACGGAACGCGCGCCACCCCGCGCTCCGCGGCCCCGACCCCTTGTCGCTCTCCTCCTCCTCGTCCTCGGCCTCCCGGTCGGCGTCGCCGCCTTCCCGGCCCGGGCTACCAGCCTCATCGGGTTCACGATCAGCCCGCGCTTTTTCCTCCAGCCGCGACCACAGGTCCGGGTCCAGCGGGATGTCGGTGACGCCGCCGCGCGGCAGCGGGGTGGGCGCGCGGCAGAAGGGGCAGGTGACGGCGCGGCGGAGGCGCACCACGCGCGCGGCCGCCCCGCTGCGCTCGCCGCGGGCCGCCAGCTCGCGCAGGCAGGCGGTGCAGAGCCGGTGGCCGCAGCGGGCGCGCGCCGTGCCGGGCAGGCGGCGGGGCGCGCGGGCCCCGAGGTTGAAGGGCCGGTAGCAGATGTCGCAGTCCAGCTCCCCGCGCTCCGGGAGAGATGGCACCTTCACCAGGAGCTGCATGCTGCCCGCCGCGGACTCGAGGGTGTCGCTAACGCGGCTGACGCCGTGGGCAGCGCGAACCAGCCCTCCCTGTGACCCGGGTCGGGCCTCGGGGCGGGCGCCGCCGCGTCTCGCCCCTTTTAAAAATGAGACCCCGCCCCTCGAGGCAGGCGTCACGCAGATGTCGGGCCGCTCCCCGCGGCGGCATGTGTGGGGGCGGCGGCGGCCCGAGGCCGGGAATGTCATCCTGGCCGAGCTGGTCGGGGATGGGGTAGGAGGCCAGAGTGATGCCAGGCCTGGGGAGCCGGGGAGATAAGAGGTGCACAGCCCTCTGCTCCCTACACACCTTCCTTCAACCTCCGGCACAAAGCCTGCGCGCCAATTCTACCTACACGCACACCCCCGGTCCTCTTCCTGATCCCAGCCAGCCACCGCACCGGTCTCTGCAGTCCCTGGCACCTGTTCGCTCAGCTGGTCACACTTGCATAGCCCCATCCAAGCAAGCTTCTCAGACAGTGGCAGTGCTCATTCTGCCCCATCTTCAGTGGGCTCCTGGAGGTTTGAACGGATGCTGCCTGGCAGAAACTCTCATTCTGCCCGCAGCTCGCCTTGGTATATCCATCCATCTCTCTCTCTCTCTCTCTCTCTCTCTCTCTCTCTCTCTCTCTCTCTCTCTCTGTCACACACACACACCACACATCACACACACACACACACACACACACACTCACTCACTCACCGTGCTGTGGTAAGGCTGACTCCCTAATTTTCTTTCTTCAACAACTACCAGTCGTCATCTCAGTCTTTGGGGTGTCTTAGATTTCAGGACCATGGCCTTAGGAATCCTGGGAATCCTTTCCTTCCAGGCCCGGACACCCACACACGATGATGACTCCAGCAAAACAGTCCAGCACGCGTTCTGACTCAGGGGTCTGACTTCCCTCACAGGTAAACAGGACATGGTACTCACAGCCCACATTCCCTCCTGGGGCCACACCCATCCCCAGCTGCCTCCTCACCCTCCTCTCCTGGACCTGCAGTCCTGGTTCTGGGGAGGAGGGTAACATCTAGTGCCAGCTGGCTTGAGTTCATCTCCCAGCCACCACCGCTTACTAACAGTGACATTTTGACCAAAGTTACTTCACTTCTCTGGGCCTCTATCCTCATTTGTATAATGTGGATACTGATAGGAGTAAATGAGCTCATATGTGTAAAGCGCTTAGAATGGGGCCTAGCACAGAATAAATGCCATGTATTAGCTATAATTATTATCCTGTGCCCCAGCCTAGATTGTATTCATTTTAACTTCGCACTACCCAACATTTTCAACCCCCATCTCTAGGTCAATACCAGATGGGTTTCTCTAGACCCATGCAATTACTGACAGTTATAGGCCATGTAGAGTTGGTTTTGCTTTTTAATGACATTGTTAAAACCTTAGAAGGTAATCTTTTTGAGGAGGTATACCATTATTTTTAAGCAAACATTTCAGAACTTCTGAGCTGTATTGTCTTCATGGTCACTTGGGGGAAGTTACCTATTTATTGAATGACGCTGTCATAATTGGAAACTGTTTTTTGGAAATTCTCTTTGGGGTGGTGTTCAGAGATCTCACATATTTTAAACATCCCCTTTTAAGGATTTGATTGTATAGGTGCTCCCAACGTGTTTCACAGTTAAAGCCTCTCTAAGCTTCAGACCTGGATATCCAGTCACCTGCTCCTCCTTTCTTGTTTATCTTCAAGGACCCAAACCAACAGTCTCCTTGTCTAAATCAGCATCTCCCCCCGTGTCTCCTACTTCTTTTTTAATCCAAACCCAGAAATCTACAAGCAGCCCACAGAATTGTGAAAAAAAGAAAAAAAATATGAAAATTGTGTTTAGAAGTTGTTTCAAGCCACTACATTTTGGAGGTGATTTGTGTATCAATAGATAATTGCTCTAGAAAGTTTCTTACTGTTCTCAAGATACAGAATATTCTAGAGTGCCCTCTAAGTCACTGTATGTTCTGAACCCACCCGTGTCTCACATTCCGCTTCCACTGCCTCCTTGTCCTTAGACGCTCTGGTTTTGGAGATCTCTGGATCGGATGTTCTTGGCTGCAAGGCCTGCTTGTATGCTGTTCCCCTCGCCCTCTTGCTTTCACCTTAGTAACACCTACTTGTCTGCCAGCTCTCAGTGCAGCCTTTCTCTGGCCTTTGGACAACTGAAGTTTCTCTTTGGGTGTTATTTGTTTGTTTTGCCCATTTGTAAGGTCCATGAAGATTGTTTTGAGTCTGGTTTTGTTCATCATTGTATCCTATGGTAAGACTCAGTAAATGTTTGTTAAATTAATGGATGAAGCTGCCTGGCTGGTGTGGCTCAGTTGCTTGAGTGTCACCCCATGCACTCCAAGGTCGCCAGTTTGATTCCCAGTCAGGTCACATACCCAGGTTGTAGGTTCAGTCCCTGTGGTAACCAATGCTTTTTCCCCCCTCTCCCTTCCTAGCTGAAGTCAATTAAAAACATACATTTAAAAATGAATGAATGAGTTGAAACTGGTTTGGCTCAGTGAATAGAGCGTCAGCCTGCGGACTGAAGAGACCGGGTTCGATTCTGGTCAAGGGCATGTACCTTAGTTGCGGACACATCCCCAGTGTGGGGTGTGCAGGAGGCAGCTGATCGATGATTCTCTCTCATCGATGTTTCTGACTCTCTATCCCTCTCTCTTCCTCTCTGTAAAAAGTCAATAAAATATATTAAAAAGAAATGAATGAAGTGAATGATAAATATGGTAAATGAGGTGCGCCAATAAAGGAAGGTTTCTTGCAAGGAGGTTCTAAACTGCCTCTAAGGTCATTATAAGGAGGTTTTTTTTTTTAATATGTTCTGAGCAATGGGGGAGACATTTGTAAAATAAGTGCATAACCCTCCAAGGTAGTTATGTAAGAGAGGACTATTTTGAGTTGATAAATTTATGTATGTTTGTTACAGAAAAACTAATGATAGTTTAGTCACACATTTGACCTCTTTGTTTCCTCCACCGTCTTCCAAAATGAGTGGAAGGTGGTAGGAGTGGTATGTAAGTATTCATTAGTTGATCCAGCTGGTTGCTAATCCAGAAAGTGGTGTGCTGCTTTTTCTCTCTTAGAAATTGCTCTCCCCGCTTCACAATCAGGGGTGAGGATGAGTAGTGGGAAGATGGTGAGGTGGTGGTTGTTTTTTAATCCTCTCCCAAAGTTATGTTTTCATTGATTTTTAGAGTGACAGGAAGGGAGAGCGAGAGAATCACTGATGTGAGAGAAACATGGATTGGCTGCCTCCCACATGCCCCCCGATTGGGGACCAAACACACAACCTAGTTGTGTGCCCTGCCGGGGGCTCGAACCCGGTAACCTGTACCAGCCAACTGAGCCCCCCGGGCATGGCAAAGTTGTGTTTTAAGAAAAGCAGCAGAGCACATTCTTCCCTGCCTTGTGATCTTTACAGGTTGTAACTTTCCACCCGCTTTCTATCTCAGGGAAATCAGAGTCCTTTGGGGAAGACTAAGGGGCTGTATCTGACACAATCCCATTAGATTCTGCTTTCCTGTCCTCCTCACAAGTTTTCCTTTCTCTGTATCATCTCAGCCATAGACCAGTTTTCATTTTACCTCTCCTTCACCAAATCCCAAAGCCTCAACTTCAGAGCCACCCTCCCATTCAGCCACAAGAAAACCACAAGAAACTAGTTCCTGAGTATGTGTGGGTATCAGGCAAGAGTGAAAGGAAGGAGTATGAGACCAAAAGTGTGGCTATATAACTTTCAAAACAAAACAAGGCCAGTGGTGTCAGGGGGAGGAAAAAGACCAGGAAGCCAGATCTCTCTGGGTTCTAAGGGATGTGGCAACTGAAGGGAAGAAGGGAGGAAGGGAGGAAGGAGGAAGGAAACTGGGGCCCAAGTAATTTGGTGCTGGCCCTTGACTGTGGTGCGGAGGAGCACAATGCCTGGGTCTCTGGGGTGAATGAACGGTGGAGAGAAAGCCAGTACTGGAGCTTTCTAATGGCTGGGGCTAGAAGGCCAACTGAGACTGAGACCCTAACCTCCCACCCCCTGCGATTTCAGACAGTGATGGAGGAAGGATTAGGTTAAGATTTTATTTACAGTTCCCTGGAAAGTCTTACAGAAGAGAGGCCATTATTATTGCTTTAAGATTATTGCCGGAACTAAGACTGCAGTCCCCCCAAGCCAGGTAGAAGTCCTGGCCCTTTTAGGTTAGTCCCATATCCCTGCTTCCTCCTAAGGACTGTCACTGTTTCCTGGGACGCACACAGCCCAGCCGCTTTCCACGGGCCGCCCTGGCTCAGCTACACATCTGCCATCAATGTTCTCTCTGCCTTCGTCAGAAACAGCGTATCAACACTAATTCCAGTGTTAAGCCCTCCTTCGCCTCCTGACTGGGAGGCAGGGTCCTGGGTTCCCAAAGTTTATCATTTAGTTCCCGCCAGGACCAGCCTGGCTTCTTTTGTATGGCATAACGTCATAACGGCAAAGAACCCCATTTTCCTTTGCCCCAGGTGACATCACAGCTCACTTGTGAGGTTATTACCCCTGAATGACATTTCAAGGGCCACTTTTGAGGTAATCTGCGTTTCTTGTGTCTACCGTTTAGCTTTTTTTTTTTTACCCCCTTGGCTATTGGGGTAAGAGAGAAAGAGGGGAGACCAAATGGCAAGGAGGGTATGGCCCAGTAGCTCATGCTATTATAATAGCTCATGGTATTAGCAAAAAGGCCTGGAAGAACGCAGGAGGGAGCAACGGGCTACTTTTCCTCTCAAGCCCCACTGCGGAAGGATATGGCTTTGTTCATGCGCATAGATTATCGAAGCCGGAACTCGTTAGTGGGCGGGACCACTTGGCTCTGGCAGCTGCGTGGAGGGATCTGGAGCTGGAGGGGTTTGGCTTCGGGGAAACAGTTCTGGGTGGGCAGGCGTGTAGCGGCTCCAGATTTGGGTCTCTGCGCCCCCGACAGGCTATTTCTTAGAATGTGGTTTGTTCCCCAGGAGCCCGTCTATCTCCGTCACCGTCTGCGGGGTCAACTGGCTCAGCACCTGGAGGAGAATGGGGTGGTCGGGTCACTGAAGAAGGATCTGAAGTTTGAGGCCCTGCACTTAGAGGACCAAGCGGCAGGGAAAGAGGCACAGCTGTGGCCCGTTTTGCCTTGTCAGCCTGGAACCTCTCCTCTGCAAAGCGAGGGCCTTGTAGTGAGTCCTCACTTTGGGTTGGACAAGGAGGCCCTGGCTCCTGGGGACGGGACAGAGATGGGCCCAGCCTCTGCCTCCCCAGCTCACCTGGAGGGCACCCAGATGTTCTATCAGCTGCTCTGCACTCGACACCCCCAGCAAGACCGAGCTGACACCCTCACTGCGGAGACACCACGCTGAAGCCAGAGGAGGAAAGCAAGAGAACGGATGGATAAGAATGAACACATGAACTTCAGGAGTGTCTCTGAGGAAGAGGATGCTCCCTCAGGACACACCACTCTCGGGTTTGAGAGTTTCTCCGAAGGAGACAAGGCCTCTGCAGGGTCCAGGGTTGGCAGTATCTCACCAATAGCAAGCTGCGCCACAGTGCAGCCCAGCTGGTGAGCTATGGGTAGAAGGTCCATGACTTTGGCTTGTTGCTTCTTGCCATCCTCACTCTGCACTTTGTCCTTGAGCCACTGGTAACCAAAGAGAATCAGCAAGAGACACCCCATCCCCCCAGAACAGCCAAAACAGGCCAGTCCTGCCACCTGAGCCCCAAGACCAAACCTTGATGGTGGCCTTGCAGGGATCTGAGACTCGCCCATCATACTTGCTGTGGATGAGGCCACAGGCCAGAGGGGACCAGGTGACTGAGCCGACACCTAAGAGAAAGAGGATTCGATGTGGGGAAAGGAATCAAGGTGATGCTGAGCCCAAGGGGAAGGTAGGGACGAGGGGCTTCGAACCAATCTTGTGGTAGAGCTCTGGCAGCTGCATCTCCACCTTTTCTCTTTGAAACAGATGGTGCTCTGCTTGTTCACACACGGGAGGAATCAGATTGAACTGTCTGGCCACAGAGTAGGCCTCCTGAGTGGGAAAGAGAGAGGGGTGGGGTGGGGAAGCATTCTTTCCATCTTCTTCCACTCCTTCCCCTCCAATAGCGTGGGGTTTGGAGTGGCCATGTGGAAAGCTGGACAGGGGACAGTGGGGTAGCACACTCACCATGATTTCTGCAGCCCCCCATCGGGATGTCCCCCAGTACAGAGCCAGGCCCTGGTTGATGACATAGGTCATGGCTCGAACAATCTCTAGGCATATGGGAGAGGAGACCCTTACTGCCAGGTCCCTGGCATCCAGGACTCTCATCTGCAGACCCCTGCCTGCCCCACCAAGACCCCAGGCATCTCTGTGGAGTCAGAGGTTGCTTTCTGCTCTTTGCCTCCCTCCCCATGTAAGTCCTGGGGTCTGAGCCTCTCCCGTGGAGCGTGGGAGGCCTCCTGAGCCAGGGCTGGCTTCCTGCAGAGGTCTGAGACGTGCTCGGTTTTGAAGGACTCTCTAAGTTGGGGTGCTGCTTTTACCCTCCATGGGACTGTTGGGATCTGAGCGACTAGCAAAGACGATGTCCACATATCCCAGCTGGAGGCGTTCCAGAGATTCTCGCAAGCCTGGGGCAGGGATGAGGAGAGGAAGGTAAGTACCTTAGTTTCAGTTTCTGAAGAATTCAGATCTCACCGTTTTAGCCATGGCCGTCGACATCCCAGTTCCCCTAGTCAAAGCCTCTAACTCAGGAGCTTCAGAATGTTCCCAACTCCTCTGGGTTCCACACCAAGCCACTTCAGGTTCCTAGTCTCTGACTCTCACCCTCAATGATGTGTTTACGGCTCAAGCCTCGCTCAGTCTCTGCCCTGTAGGAAAAGGTAAGTCAGAGATGAGGTGTGACACGGGTAGGAGACCAGGGCTGGCCTGCACCATGAGGAACTGGGATTGCGTGGGTTCTCACAGGTGGGATATAGACATGGGGCAGCAAATATAGGGACTGACGTCACCACCCCCATTCCATGCACCATATACCTCTGAAGATCGTTTCCCCACTTCTAGTGGGGCAGCCACTTACTGTCCTCCCCCAAAAATTTTGGTGGTGATGACATAGCTTGATCTCCTGGAAAAAGAGAAATGGGAGAACCAGCAAGAAAAGGACTTTTGATGATTATGTCCCTAACAGTCCCCCCAAAACGCAGTCTCACCTCCACCCTTTGCTCTTGAGGATGTTGCCGAGGGTTCTTTCAGCCCTGGAGGAAAGACAATGGAGATGCACTGCCCCTCCAAGGTGGGTCAGTTCCTTCCCCTCTTCCTCACATTCCCCTTCAACTCATTTCCTCTCTTGTTAAGTGGAGAATAAGCCAGGAGTCCAAAGGGCTGTCAGCCCCATCCAGGACTGAAAAAAGGAAGAAGCTCCTGGAACTAGGGGTATTTGTCATATAGTTTTCATTCAATCATTCAATATATATCAACTGTGCATCAATTATGCGCCAAGCCCTGTTCTGAGTTCTGAAAGGAATAGAGCAGGATGAGGGGAGTGGGAGTTGGAGACACTGGTTCCAACCATTTGTGTTGCCCCCTCCCCTTGAGTCTACAAAATCCCACCTATCCTTCAAAGCTATGCTCACATTCTGCCTCTGAGAAAACCTTTGCTGATTGCTATCAACTACAGTCAGTCGGTCAGTCGTTGTTAGCTCTTACTGGTGATTTTCAACCGGTGTGCCACAGGAATTTCTAAAACATATAATAGCTGACTATTTAGTCCGGGCACTGGCCTAATTTCCCTTAAATTGTCAAATAAAAAAGTGACAACAGCCAACACAATAATGAATCAAAATTATACACACATTTTTTTGGTCAGATTGCCCCACCCCCCAGTTTTTTTCTCTCTTTTTTATGTGCCGCAGAATTTTAGTTATTAGTTTATGTGCGCCATGAGATGAAAAAGGTTGAAAGTCACTGGGCTACACAATTCTTGGACACATAATTATGAGCTGAAGTCTTAAGTTATGGTGGACCGTTCTTCATTCTTTCATATCCCCCTGTCTTTTTGGTAGATTTGTTTAACTACTTAGACTGGGAGCTCTTTGAGGGCATATTGATATTATCCCACAAGTAATACCTACTCTGTGCTAGGCTCTGTGGAGGTACGTAGGTGACACAGGAAAAAGCAAGACAGATTTCATAGGAGGGGGAGCATCCCAGTTGAGCAGCAAATATGGCTACAGGAGCCAGTAATTGATAATGGTGTGTCAGTGTAAAGTGCGTTAGGAACGGAGGGGCTGGTGGGGCATTGTGTGAAGGCTTCCTGGAGAAGCAGACATTTGGCCAAGTCTTGAGGATAAGCAGGAGACTTTGCCATATGGAGAAGAGGGAGGGGTGGGTCGTTACACAGGTTTTTGGCTTCTCCCAGTGTGAAGCCACGGGTGTGTGATGTGGCATGGTGTGTTTGAAAATTTAGATTTATACTCCCCCACGCCATTGCACATAATTGGTGCCCAAGATATACTTGTTGGTTTTATGTTATTGTGACTGCACCGTATGCCCCTTGCCCTCTAAGCTGATGTTTGGGGCTATGATTCCCCTAATGTTTCGGGGGCCCACTGGCTAGAAGGATAGAACTCAGTGTTGGCAGAATTCCCAGCGGTTCTTGAGATGGAAAACATGAAGCCCTGATGTTCTCTCAGTCTTCTAAATATAACTTAGCTCTTTCTCCCCGGTCCTTACTTTCCAGCTGCGTACACTTCGGTGGTGTCAAACAGGTTTATGCCGTGCTCATAGGCTGCTGTCAGCACGTCCTCTGCTGTCTAGGGAGGTGAGAAAAAAAGGTGATTCTCCACTGGCCCCTCAATGACCTCCCTCATTGCACTCTAGCACTTTAGCCTTAGCCCCTTGGCCTTTTTTTTTTTAAATATATTTTATTGATTTTTTACAGAGAGGAAGGAAGAGGGATAGCTAGAAACGTCAATGAGGGAGAAACATCGACCAGCTGCCTCTTGCACACCCCCTACTGGGGGATCTGCTCGCAGCCAAGGTACATGCCCTTGACCAGAATCGAACCCGGGAGCTTTCAGTCCACAGGCCGACGCTCTATCCATTGAGCCAAACCGGTTTCGGCAAGCCCCTTAGCCTTGATTTTTACATTCTCTTCCCTTTTCTCATCCTCTAGCCTCATGTCCCATTCACCATTCTCTGTGCTTGTTGTCCAAAACCCTACCCAAGTCCATTTCCCCTCGTTCTGGTTCCCTCTTAGCCCCTCACCCTGCTTCTAGGTCCCATCACTTATACCTCATCCGAGATCTGAGAACCAAATGTGACCCAGGTACCTGCAAGAGAGAAGCCAGGTATGTGAGAACTGTGGGATGCGAGCCGTGAAAGAACACCCTTCCCTTAAATCTTTTTTCTCACTCACCTAGGCCAAGACAGGACACACGAAGACCAGACTTCCCCAGGTTTCTGCGGGAGACAGAAGTAGCACGAAGGTGTGGAACCTCCATTAGGAACATACACGATCAGCCCCCAGCTCCTCTCCTTCCAGGATGAGAAGCCCTCACTCAGGGTCTCGGTCCAAAACTAGACCCCGTGGGACTGCCAACTTGGGCAGTGCTATGCCCACAGCATAAGTGAACAAATAAACGACCGTTCCTCTGGACACACACTGTACAATGCTTATCTCCCTTCCTATCACACTGAAGATGTACTGCTTGGTTTGTGTTTCTGCTGGTGGAGTTTTGTCTGTGTTCGAGTCACCTCTGCATGTGTGGAGTTGGGGGCTGGGAGAAATGTGACTAGCTGAGTGTGATCTAGCTGAGTGTGATCAGTTTGTGAAAACAGACCTTCCGCCGGGACCGGTTTGGCTCAGTGGATAGAGCATCGGCCTGCAGACTGAAAGGTCCCGGATTCAATTCCGGTCAAGGGCATGTGCCTTGGTTGCGGGCACATCCCCAGTAGGGAGTGTGTAAGAGGCAGCTGATCGATGATTCTCTCTCATCGATGTTTCTAACTCTCTATCCCTCTCTCTTCTTCTCTGTGAAAAATCAATAAAATATATTTTTTAAAAACAAAAACAAACAAACAAACAAAAAAGACCTTCAGACAGAGTGCTATGCTATAGGGCAGACACCACAGTGGGAGGAGTTAACCAAGTCAAATTCAGTTAATCAAGCAAGGGTGCCTGGATAGCCTAGGCTATGAGACTCCAACAAAGGTAGGCAGGACACCTAGGTGGCGGGTATGACAGGAGAGGCCAGTTCTCCCTCCTCTCTCCACTCCCTCTGCCCCTGTGGGCTTGTGAACTAGAAAGACCCCTCCTCCCAAGCCCCCACTCAGGCAATCAGCTCCCAAGCAGAGCTGCCACTTGGAAGGGATCAAATTCCTCAACTGACAAAGCCGGGTGGGCTCCGCTGGGTGATCTCAGCTCACGGCCAGGCAGGAGCCCCTCTCCTCCCCCTCCTGCCCCCACGCCAGTTCTGAGAGCCCAGCAGTTCTCTGAGATGAAGTTGGTTACATTACAGTCCACCTTCCCCGCCTGACCCAGGTTCCTCAGCATGGGGCGAAGAGATGTGGTCCATCTTTCCAACTTCTGTCCCCACCGAGACACTGGGCCCATGGGACAGGGCAGGTGGGGGCAGTATCTGGGTCAGGCACCCTGAGCAGGCCAGAGGGAGTAGCCCTTTCCTTCTCCCTCTTCCCAGGACACGGATCCAAGGACACAGAGGGGGGGAGGGAGGCACCCTGGGGATCTATGCATCCCTGGCTTTCCTGGGGGTAATGAGAAAAGCTCAGTGGCATCCCCGGGCTCTGACAGGACCGGATCAACCTTGGTAAACTTGAATTTCTCCTAGTAGGGGTATGGACGGAGATCAAGAGAGGGACCAAGTAAGGGAGCGCCGGTGCTGGGAAGAAGAGAGAGAATGCGCCAGGACCTTCTTAGCGAAGTTTGAGGGGCTCCTGGGGCATCTCAGGAAGCCTCAGGGGTCAGGAAAAGGGAGCAGAGTGGGCGGGCTGCCCGGCCACCCCCATACCTGTATTTCATGCCAGTGCCTCGGCCGGTGCTCTCTCGGAGGACCCCAGGGGGCGCTGGGGGTCGGAGGACCACTGCGGTGCGGGCCTTGGGGCCCGACCCTCCTCCGCCCGGAGGATTCCCGTGCACCCCGCCGGCAGGCCCGCCGTTACCGCCCCCGGGGCCCGGCCGGGGTCCACACAGGCGGTCCTCGCTGTTCCGGCTGCGAAGGTTCTGCTCGGTGCACGCGATGGACACCTGCATGCCGGCTGCCCGCGGCCGGGGGCTCCGCGGGGGAGGGAAGGTGGGAAGCCGGGACGCCCGAGGGCGGACGAGCGGGGTGTAGCGGCGGGAGCCCCGCGGAGAGCGGGGAGGCTGAGGCTGCGGAGGGAGTCAGCAGGCAGGACCGGGCCGCGGGGGCGGGCTGCTGGAGGTCGCGGGGTTTGCGGTGGCAGGAGAGAGACGCAGGGGATCCACGAGTGGAGATGTTCGTCTACGGGGGCCCTGGCGCGGGAAGAGGAGGCGGAATGAATGAGGGTAACGGCGGAGGGCGACCTAGGAGGGTAGGGACCAAGGAGGAGGAGGGGGGAGAAGAGGTGCCACCTCAGGCTGATCCGCAGGGGACCCGCTGGGTTCCCAGCCGCGTCCGCAGCGGGGCCGGCTACTCAACATGCAGGCACCGCCTCTCATTTGCATAAACACGCCCACCTCCCCAGTTAAACCCGCTTCTCATCTGCATAAGCCCCGCCTCCCGGAGCTCTACAGCGTGACTATTGGATGTACTGAGAAGAGCAGCACCGGGGAGGGTGGTTCTCGGGGCTCTCTGGGGCCCGAGGCAGGCCAGGCTTCCCTAGAGGGGATGATTGAGTCCCCTCTGGACTCAATCTGGATCTGGAGACATTTTTAAAAAAATATATTTTATTGTGTTTTTTTTTTAAATATATTTTATTGGTTTTGTACAGAGAGGAAGGGAGAGATAGAAACATCAATGAGAGAGTCATCGATCAGCTGCCTCTTGCACATCCCCTACTGGGGATATGCCCGCAACCAAGGTACATGCCCTTGACCGGAATCAAACCCGGGACCCTTCAGTCCCCAAGCCGACGCTCTATCCATTGAGCCAAACCGGTCCCGGCTATTTTATTGATTTTTAACAGAGAGAAAGAGAGATAGAAACGTCGATGAGAGACAAACATCCACCAGCTGCCTCTTGCACACCCCCCACTGGGGATGTTCCCACAACCAAGGTACATGCCTTTGACCGGAATCGAACCTGGGACCTTTCAGTCTGCAGATTGACGCTCTACCACTGAGCCAAACCGGCTTCGGCTCTGGAGACATTTTTTACTGTCACTACTGGGGATGGGGAGGAATGTGCTACCAGCATCTAGTGAGTCTCGCCAGGATAAGGCACAGAACAGCACTACCCCCCAACAATGAAATATCCAGCCCCAAAATATCAGTAGTGCTGCTGTTGAGAAAACCATGGTCAGAGCCTCTGTGCAGGCTCAGAGGATGTGGCACCCTGCTTCAGGCCTCTATGAGTGGGGCAGGGCCCCTGACCAACCACCCAAAATGACACACTCAAGACGCAGTGACAAAAAAGTTTATTCAGTGCTTCTCGTGGCATCTGAGAGTGGACGAACCCGGAAAGAGGGCCTGGTTTGCAGGTGACGGGGAGGGCCCCACGGAGGGGTGTATGGGGGCTTGAGGGGTTTTGAGGGCAGGCAGGGGAGAGCCCTGAGGTGAAACAGGTTAGGGAGGGCCCCAGGAAGACAGGCCCTCCTGAGGGGGAAGGTTGGGTACTTCCTTCAGCCAGCCCTGGCAGAGAAAAAGGGCAGAGAGCGGATGTAGGAATCCAGTCGGGAGCGGAAGAGCTCACTTTGTACAGCCTGTCCCAGCGGGCACAGGGGGTTCTTCACCACCAGCTCCACGTACAGCTACGGAGAGGGAGAATGTTAGAGCCAGGCTTTGGACACTTCTTGTTTCCGACTCCAAACCTAGTATAACCTCAAGGATGTGTGAATACATAAGGACCAAGGGCTGGGAGGCAAGCCCTCCTTGATGAGAAACTAGTGGTGGGCGTGTTGAAAACTCTGACTTTAGCCAAAACCGGTGTGGCTCAGTGGATAGAGCGTCAGCCTGCAGACTGAAAGGTCCCGGGTTCGATTCCGGTCAAGGGCATGGACCCTGGTTGCAGGCACATCCCCAGTAGGGTGTGTGCAGGAGGCAGCTGATGGATGATTCTCTCTCATCAATGTTTCTGACTCTCTATCCCTCCCTCTTCCTCTCTGTAAAAAAATCAATAAAATATATTTATTAAAAAAAAAGAAAGGGAAAAAAAAAAGAAAACTCTGACTTCAATAGGGATAAAATAGGATCCTGGCAGAAAATCAGAAGGAGTCTCGGGGCTCTACATGACCATGGCATACGCTGAGGAACTTTGGGGGGAGGGTCCCAGGGGCTGGCACTGACCGCACTATAAATGTGATGCAGTACGTCTCGGATGGGTCCGACGCCCAGGTCAGTATTCATGACAACCTTGATCCCAGTGGGCGTCTCATAGTAATGGAGTTTGTAACGACTAGTTTGGAAGGCCAGAAAACCATCCTTCCTGCAGGGATGAGGAGGATGTTAAGGAACGGGAGCAGAATCTTCCCAAAAAGAAACTTCTAGTCATCTCTAGGTCGATCCCCTTTTCTTTAAACATATCTGTAGGTGCCTGGTTTAGTAGACACCTCCCCCAGACTCCGTTCCCACTCCTCCACATTTGACCCCACACCCAACCTCTCTATCATCGGATTTTCCCCACCATCGCTCCTTGCAGCTCTGGCACTCTCGCTCCGGATTCAGCTCCCTCTCTCGGGGGGCCAAATGCCCCTTCCACTCCAGAAAGTCTCCCCCACCCCAAACTCCCAAGGCTAGTCCTTTCCCCCTCACATTCCCCCTGACTCCAGCGTACATGTCTAGCGGGGACATCTTGCTGACAAACGAACGGATAGAGAAAAGCATCCCGTACATCAGCTTGAACTCCTGGAGGGAAAAAGAGAGAGTTAGCTCCTGGTTGCTGAAGGAGACGGGCCTCGGGTGGGAGAGAGCCACGGTTAGGAGAGGGGCGGCTGGACTAGGACTATGTGCGCCTGGAGATGCGAGGTCACCCGGGTGCGCGGGGGCCCTCCCGTCACCTCCTCCTTGGGGATCCCCGCTTGCTTCTTGCGGTGCCACTCGCTGTAGTGCAGACACACTCCATTCCGGTCAAACAGGTACAGGTTGTGGACAGTCATCTGTGGGGCACAGAGCGTGAGCCTCGCTCCAGGCCCGCCCAGCCTCCGCGGGTTCCAGGGTCCCGTCCCCGACCCTTCCAAACAGGCGGGCTCCCCGCTCCCACACTCACCGGAACTGCTCCAAGTGCCTGTCACTAGACACTTCCGGTTTCCGCGGAGCCCCGCCCCCCAGGTCCTTTCGCGGCGGCGGAGCGTGAGCTCCGTCCAAACACACCTTCCTGGCGCCTGCGCGTGCGCATCCGGGCTCCCGGGCGCCCGGAGCCGTAAAGGCGGCGGCGGCGGCGAGGCCCCGACTGGTGACGTCACGGCGGCGGGCGAGGCGGGGCCGCGGTCGGTGGGCGGGCCGCTGCCAACGGTTTTGAATGAGGGGGAGCGCGCGAGGGGGGGTCTCAGCCTTTCCGGATCCGGGCTCGAGGGAAGGGGCTGTCGCTTGTCCCCACCCTGACAAACAGGGGGGCTGAGGACTGGAGGTGTGGGGTGATCGGAACGGGGTAATCGGAGCATCTCGGACTAGGTTTGAGGGCGGCGTCCCCTCTGGGGACGTTCTGAGGGTGTGACTGAGTTCACAAAGTTTCCTTTGGGGTAGGAGGAAGGGAGGGATTCTTTATTACTTTTTATTTTATTGCCTAAAGTTTTACATATGTCTCCTTTTGCCCCAATGGACCCCCTTCCAAGGGAGGGACTCTAGGGAGCTTTGCTAGGGCTTTCTTGCTTGGAGGGGGTGTACAGGAGAGTTGACCCTGGGTAGACCTGTGCGGTGGGCGGAGGGGTGCAGTGGACGGAGGGGTGCAGTGGGCGGAGGGGTGCAGTGGGCAGAGGGGTGCAGTGGGCGGAGGGGTGCAGTGGGCGGAGGGGTGCAATGGGCAGAGAGGTGCAGTAGGCAGAGGGGTGCAGTAGGCGGAGAGGTGCAGTGGGCAGAGAGGTGTGGGGAGCCTAAGATCCCAGCCTCTGAGATTGGAGCCAGTTGACCGGCAAGTGAGGCAGCTGGACGGAAATTAGGCCCTTATTGGATTTGGGGTTTTTCGTTTGCACTCTGGGTGTGGGGGTTAAGAGCTGAGTTGACCGGCGATGCAGCCTGTGCAAAGCTGATTTGTAACGTTCAGCACTAGATGAGCTGCAGCGGTGCTTTTGCCCCAAGGGTCTTCTGTCCCCACTCCGTGCTGCATCCCCCTTTCCCGCAGTGTCCAGGAGCTGCGGGAGGAGATGCTTTTGCTCTCTCCCATGACCGGTGGTACGGGTGGGAACCTTTCCTCTGACCAGAAAGCCTCCCTACCCTTCTTCACCGACGTTCCTTGGCTTGGAGCCTTCCTCCTTTCTCCGAAATCTTCCTTTTCTGTGCACTTTCCCCACCGGACTGTCCTAAAGCAGAACCTGGAATTCCCAGCTCTGCTGTCTCCAGTTTTCTCTTCCCTGTATTCATGGCGACATCACCAACCAGTCCCAGTTCACCGCTCCGGGCGGAGGATCTCCTGAGTGACTCGTCAGAAGCCCCTGCGCTGAACCAAGTGTCCTCCGAGGTCACCTCCCAGCTCTATGCTTCTCTGCACCGCAGCCGGCAGGCAGAGGCCACGGCCCGCGCCCAGCTGTACTTGCCCTCCGCCTCCCTCCCGCCTCACGAGGGGCTGGACAGCTTGGCCCAAGAGCTGAGTCGCAGTTTGTCAGTTGGATTGGAGAACAACTTGAAGAAAAAGATGAGGGAGGTGTGTCTGGAGGGGACCTCTAAGGTTTTGGGATTGGGGGTGATGATAAAAAACAAAAAGCTTTATCGAGAATTGAACTATTGTTGGATTTCAAATTCTTTTTTTTTTTTTTTTTTTTTTAATACATGGCCTTCAGCAAGTATTATAACTACTTCAGGCCTGTGTGTGTGTGTGTGTGTGTGTGTGTGTGTGTGTTTTTAAAAATATATTTTATTGATATTTTACAGAGAGGAAGGGAGAGAGATAGAGATCAGCTGCCTCTTGCACACCCTCTACCGGGGATGTGCCCGCAACCAAGGTACATGCCCTTGACCAGAATCGAACCTGGGACTTTTCAGTCTGCAGACCGACGCTCTACCACTGAGCCAAACCGGTTTCGACTCAAATTCCTTTTTTTTTTTTTTTTTAAATATATATTTTTATTGATTTTGTAGAGAGGAAGGGAGATAGAGAGCTAGAAACATCGATGAGAGAGAGTCATCGATCAGCTGCCTCTTGCACACCCCCTACCGGGGATATGCCCGCAACCAAAGTACATGCCCCTGACCAGAATCGAACCCGGGACCTCTCAGTCCCCAAGCCGACGCTCTATCCATTGAGCCAAACCGGTTTTGGCTCGGCTCAAATTCCTTTTAAGGACACAATCATGAGGGGGAGAGTGGCCTGGGACACCATCATATGGGAAATCGTGAGATTTCCCCATGTTTTCCTGTGTCAGAGATACCTGCCCTGTGGTCTAGGTTGCTGTGCTTTGACTGGGGTTTGGGGAACCGGGGGCGAGGATAAGTTTGCTCCATCCCAAAAAGTAACTAGGGCTTACAGATAGAGCAACGTATGCTAAGAGCCTTCCAGCTCAAAACTGTTTTGATTGTATGGTTCAAAATTAGGCATGTAAGTAACGAAAGCATAGTTTAATAAACTAAACATGTTACAGATCAGATAGTTATTAGTGTTGCATAGAAAAGATCTCATAACCAATTTGCAGACTGGTTAGGTCTTCCAGAGTTTGAAAAGCTGATAGCCATGGGCTACACAGTCGTTCGGCAGGGTATTTGCTGTCTAGTCGGCAAGAATCCTGTCCGCGCTTAACTTAATGTGCCAGGTCAACTAATTACACGACCTGTCTGGCTTCTGGACACATTTGAGTGTCTGACCCTTATTGGGTCAAGTTCTCCCGTTCTTGCTTTTCTCGGTGCTGGAGCAAAAAGTATTGTGTTTTAGGGGGTGCCATCTACCCTGGCAGTGGTTGAATATAGATTATTCAAGTTGCTTCTCGTTTCTGTGTTACTTTTTCCTAGGATGGTTCCAAGCATATCTTTGAGATGGAAAGTGTTCGGGGCCAACTCCAGAGCATGCTCCAAAACTCACGTGATACAGCCTATCGTGAGTAAATCCCTTCCCCGTAAAGGAGAACCTAGGGGTGGGAGAAAGGAGAGAGAGGAAGTGGCTGCAGGAGGGCCTAGACCTCTGACAAGATTTCAGGCTGAAAGGCTCCCTGTCTTTGGCAGAGGGCCGGAGGAGTGGGTGAAGTACAAAGGAAGGCTCTCCGCTGTCTTCTTCAAGTGGTCCCTGTTCCCATCCTTGCCTGACCCTCTGCCTCTCTCTAGGGGATCCCCTTACTCCAGGAGCTGGCTCAGAGAGACGGGAAGGAGACTCCTTTGACAGTGAAAGCACAGCCACCTTGCTTAAGTGAGTTCTCCTTGGGATTCTTCTAGCTTGCTTTCTTGGGGAGCTGAGTGTTCTATTCCGATTGCTCTTGTTGCTCTTAAGACCCAAGACACTTGTCAGTTAGCTTTTAGTTTTATCCTTTCTCTCCTGTCTTCTACTCCCTTTACTCCTTCAGGAACGTGGGCATCTGCTGACTAGTACCTGGCCTTCTAGTACTTCTCCCAGGAGAGTTAGCTTGCTTCTGCGGAGACTTTTATCACAGGAAGTGTGGCATAAAGGAAAGAGCACTATAGAGTGAATCATAGTACCTATGTGCTATTTCTGGTTCTACTAGAGGCCCAGTGCATGAATTTGTGCACGGATGGGGTCCTGCTGGCCCTGATCCAGGTGATCAGGCCGGTTGTGCAAAGGGTGGAGGGGGTGCAGAGGCAGGGGCAGTTGGCGGGAACTCCCGGTTGAGGGGACAATTTGCATATTAGCTTTTTATTACATAGGATCACTGTCTAACTTAATGACTTCAGCCAAGTCTCTTGCCCTTTCTGAGTTTAGTTTCCTCATTTGTAAAATGTCACGGTTGGACTAATGGGTCTCAAAGTTTTCCCAATCTTAATATGTCTACCTGGTTTACTCAGCACCCGACCCCTGCAAGACTTATCTCCATCTAGCTCAGCCCAAGCCCTGGAGGAGCTGTTTCCCCGTTACACCAGCCTTCGGTCAGGACCCCCACTCAACCCCCCGGATTTTCAGGGCCTGAGAGATGCACTGGATTCAGAGCATACCCGCCGAAAGGTGAGATGTTAAGCTTCCTTTTGAAAGTAGCAAAGATTAAAAAAGGGCTAAGTGCTAAAACAGGCAGAGGGCTAAGGGCCCACAAGTGGGACTTGGCTCAAATGGCTCTTCAGGAACCTTCTTTCACCATGCTCTCTAAACGGCACCCTCTCCAGACATTCGTTACTCTCAGTTCCTTCTTATAGCTCATCACTATCTGCTATATCTTGCTTGTTTTGCCCTTCTAAAATATAAGCTCCTCGTTCAGCACTGTCTTCCTAAGGTTTAGAATATACCTAATACATAGAAGCACTCCATAAGCATTTAGTGAATACACAGTGAACTTTGTTTTCTTGTACAAACGCTTTATAGCTGTTGATGTAATGAGCTTTATCTCTTTGACCTTAGTCTGTCTGAAGTGGGAAGAAAGAGAGACAAGGCAGAAGAAAAATCAAAATCATTGATTATGTTGTCATTTTTGGAACTCTGTCTTCTATTTATTTTTCTTCTATTTTTCTTTTTTTTAAGTATATTTTTATTGATTTCAGAGAGGAAGGAAGAGGGAGGTAGAAACATCAATGATGACATCAGAGTTATTTATTGGCTGCCTCTGGCATACCCCCTACTGGGGATCAAATCTGTAACCTGGGCATGTGCCTTCATTGGGAATCAAACCCATGACCTCTTGGTTCATAGACTGATGCTCCACCACTCAGCCATGCCGCTGGGCTCTGTCTTCTATTTTCAGCTGCCTGGGCATGAATGAAAGGCTTTGCCTTTATCCCTGCTATGTTTAATCATTGTGTTCAGTGAGCTTCTCAGGCAGGAATAGCTTCCACTTCTTACAGTGTGGGCTGCTGCACC